CTCCAGAGCCTTCGATCTCAGGTCGCATGGGATCGCTCCCTGTTTGCTTGTGCATGAAAGGGATACATCCACTTTTGGTGAGATTAGCTCCCATGGAGGCACTAATACGGGACGCGACCTTAGCACACCACGCAAACCTATGTCGCTTTCCCGGAACAGCTTCTTCATATGGACACCAAATGGAATAGTGGACAGCCTTCCGCTACTTTGGAACTTGCTTTCCACATCACGTGAAAAGATTGCTCGGTGAGTCGGATGGTTGGGAAATTGAGCCAGCTTGCAAAAGTACCGCATGCCAAGCATTTCCCTTCTCAGTGCCAACGTTCAGCCGTCGCTGAGTCCCAAAATGGCACTGGGCTCAGATCATATCAACGTTATCATATCATATCTCATAATCGGCTCATATCAACATGATCGCAACACAACAATACGGAAGCATGCAAAACTGAGTCCCTTATTTAGGCTGAAGAAACCACTTAAATTGATAACCTTGGTTGTGCTCCAAAATTGTCGCCGATCTGTTTTAAAGTGTTGTTGCACGCAATTTATTTCAGCTAGTATACAAGTTATCATGCAATTTATTTAAGTTATTTAACTCCGCAAGCTTTCCACTGAGACCTCACCTGTCAAAAGCGGCTTTTAATAGGGGATCTACTTTTTGCGGTAGGTCAAAGCCCAAGTAGGACAATGCTCATTGCTCGACATAGCCTTTCGTAAGCTTTGTTTCGTTGTTCAAAATAGTGGGGACATCCAACAATGATCCAGTTTCTTACTATCTGTATGCAGATCTAAAATAACGCGTGAGGCGGATTGATTGGTTTAGTTTTGATTAAGCTCGACGTGCCTCGTCCGTTCTGAGTTGGCTAGGATGCTAGACCTTCCCAGGGTTTTGGAAGACGGATGGTATTTATGCACGTAGTGTATGTTCGTAGTATGTGCAAAACAATAATTTTAATCATCTCAATTTAGCACTTCGCGGAATTTGACACTAAAAAACAAGGCATCAAACTAATGCACTCGAAAACACACGCAATGGCGTTTGCTTGCATCGGTGGCACAAAACTATGTTAAGAACGTGAGTTGAATTGACTTGGGAAATAACCTCACGTCATTGATTTGACAATTGCGAGCACGTTCGTGGCGCAGCTTGCTATTACGCGAGCCGATGCAGATGACAGGTCCTTGGTTCAAGGCCAACCGCGGTGGGGCTTCCTTGGCCGGCCCCTGCCGTGGAGATGACAGCAATCGAGCAATAACGGCCATCCCACTGGATTACCGCCATACCGACCAGCGCCCATGGCAGAGTGGTCGCAGGCACAGACTACCTTCATATACGTGAACCCGTCTGTTCGGTCGTGACTCAGTTTTCACGGTCACGCTCGGGACTAAGGAAGCAGTACTGCGATTAGCTGTCCTGAGTCCGGGAAATCCTAATACGTCAGCCGCCCGCCTGCCTGCTACGTTACACGTTACGGCAGGAATCAAGTACTTAGGACTGTTTCGGAGCCGCTACAAAAAAGAGACATACGCTGCGTACAGTTTGCGGTGTGCATATAAGTCACACTACCAGCAGTCAACCAGAAAAACCATGCGACGGGCAGCAAAGTTATGTGGTGATACAAAATAATCCGCAACAGACCAGTATAAACACCGCAAACGATAACATTCCAGCATTTTAAAGTTGCCTTTCCTTCTGGCAACCGGAATTTAAAGAATCATGCAACATGAATATTTCACCTTCAAGACTAGCATTCCAGACCTGGGCCAATTAAATTCTCGTGATTCACAGCTTGGGTGATACCAAGCTTCCACCCCCACAGCTCTTCCCATTTGTCCCGTTCGCCCCTTTTCAGTCGGGTCACCAAAGCCCGACGCACGGCGGAGCCAGACGCGCTCCTCCGCTTGCGGGCGAAACGGCCGCTGCTGCCGGCTCGCTGGACGCAGGGCCCCAAACTGCACCATCGCCGACACGCACGCCTATTGGACGCCCCTGTCGCAGCGTCGCGTGACCTTTCCCAGCCCAATATTCTCTCTCCCACGCGAGTGCCGCCCATGCCGTGTTCACGCGCCCCACTCGGCGCAAAACGTTCGACGTTCTCGATTGAGCTGGGCGGGGGCCGTGGACGGGCGCCGAGCACGGCAGGCAGTGAAGGCGCGCTGCCGACGCTGGGGACGCGCGTGACAGGGTCGGGCGGCGCGTGCGGCAGTGTTACGAGCTAGGCGACAGCGAGGCCGAGCCATTCTCGAACCATCGAAAATACTCGGAGCTGCACGCATCAGCCCGGCCCAATGCGACCTTAACGCACTTAACTAGACTCAATCTCAGCAACTAAGCGTCGTAAAACCTATTTTTTGGCCTGTTGTTGATGCCTTTTGAAATGATTCATCCGACGTTACCACTCGATGGAAACTTCTCCGCAACATTCGAAAAGCACACAGTTTTGAATGACATGACATTTGAATTTGCATATGCATGATGTCCGCATAGATCACTATCACATATGTCGCTTGACACAAATGATGTGCGCATAGCTCATCAACATTTTACAGGAAAGGCTTCCTTACCCATACCTCAACATCCATAGCGTTCCTTAATCACGACCGGTGGCTTCAATATAGATGTTCTCAAGGTACAGGCAACGTTTCTCAACAAAACAGGCTGCCAAGGGAAGCAAAGATGTGGTCATCGTTGAAAACATCTTTGCTCTTTTTGATGCAATGAATCGCGGCGAAACTTTTGAAATGAGAATATTCTCTTTCAATTCGTGAAAAATACTATGTTTCCAAAGTCTTAGCTTGCATCTCTGTTAGTACATAATCTGCTCACACACCGATTCAACAATTGGTAACAAGCGTATCTTTCTTTTTTGCGATGTTGAACCGCTTGGAACAAGTCGTCAATCTTAACACGCGCCCGTATGGCCGGCTAGATACTCTTCGCTCGGGTGGATGGTCAGGTTGACCCCCCTGAGATCTCGGAAACTAATAGAGCTAGAGACACCAAATCTACAGGGTGGGCTGATCTGTACGTGAAATCACTTGGGTCAAACTTTTAATTTCCTATGTCATGCCCTTCGGGACAAACAAGGTTAAACAAAGGCAAATTCTAGGTCGGTCTCCAAGGTGCCCCCATAGCCTAGCAAGCTGTTTATAGCAAAGGATCACGTGTTCAGTTAACGTCAGTGACCTTGTTTGACCTCGAAAAGGTTATGGTGACCAAAATCATGCAAGGCCACTCCGGGTTTTGCAGTTGAATAAGCGACAAAGATTACGCCAGGCAGTACGTTCCTAAACAAAAAAATGTTGACCGGGGCAATTTCAGATCAATGACCTATTCTGACCTCTAAGGACTCCATGGAAGATATATAATGCGGTTCCTACTATCAATAAGTTTGAGATGAGTGCCAGAAAATATATCATGCATTAAGTCCTAGAGTAATAAAGCAGGTTGGCTTTGACCTCGGTCTGACCTTTATGCCTGACCTCAGGTCAAAGTAATTCGCTCATTCAATATCTGTGTTTCCTAAGAAAGTATCTCACAGATGTATGGCTTCGTCTAACACTCCGTTGCTGCATCAGATTGAACGATTCCCTAGAAATTGACTTCGCTGAAACCATGGTCTGACTTTGACCTGCCATAGTTCAGCGACCTCACAAGGTAAATCTAGATTTCTGATGCCAAGCGATCCGCTATTTAATTGTCTACAGCACGCAAAATTTGGCGCGGCTTCACCGCGCTGTTCGGAGACCATTCTGAAAAAAACCTTCGGGGGGGAGGGTAAGTTGACCCCCCCACTCGAGCGCGTGTTAAGGCAGTCGGAAACAAACGCCAGCAAACGTGCAAATCTTTTTCCATTCGATAAGAAGTTGAAACAGATTGTAGCATTTCAACATTCCATTGTGCTTGACGAAAGAAAGAAGTGAAAATGAGGGGACGGTGTGGCACGTACCAACCGGGAGCGGAGCCTTTGAATTGCACTACATGTAGTCTAAAACACGTTCATCACATCGAAACGGCCCTTAATACTTCTCTTAAACTAGAAGTCGAATTATTCAGTCTATGTTATGTGTCATGTGATTCCCTCATATCTCTGAAACATCGAGAAATGATGTTTCTTTGTGAATAAAAGGCCTGAGCATTGGTTGTTTAACAGCACTTGCCAGTAGTTATAATTTGGCGCGCTGCTCCTCTTCCAAGCCTTATGAATCCGAACAAAAGCTGAGGAGATACCTGGTTCATCGCCATTCACACAACACTTACACGTAGCAAAGAATGGTGCATCCTCAAAATGTCTCGATACGTATACGTGCCACACATTGCATACTAAAACCCTGCTCCCTGCTCCTTATTCAAAAACGTCGCGCTGAGGGTCATCCACATGACCTAAACACGTTCAATAAGCTCAAAGACACATACTGTGCTTGAGGCCAGTGTGAACAAATGGATGGTGTGCCCATGCCAGGGGCTATGTCCGACCGTCGACGCTCGAATGATGCATTGACGGCCATAGCCTTCATGCGTCGCGAAATAGTGGCCTGATCACGCGCGGCGCAGGCCCGAGCTTTTACAGAAATGTCACCGACAGAAACTACGACACCTTTTGCGCACTGAATGGCAACTGGCTTGAATGGCCGATGTGGCTCAATCACGCACATTGGCGCGAGTGGGCGTATGCGTCCACTGCTGCTGGCTGTAACCGTTTGTGTTGACTGTCTCCTTCATGAAGACAGTCAACGGACTCTCTTACATTGACATTGCCTGTTTCTTTCAGGGATCTGCTTTGGACAGGCTGTGGCAGACGGACATCGATACCAATAGAGGTAAGTTTCAACAGTGTACAACAGTTATGGTTTAGCCAAACACACGGTATGCTGAGTCTCTTGGAGAAGCTGACATGGTTGAGTGGAGGCAAGCCGCTGCAGCGAAGTTCTACGCATTTTATCAACTAGTGTTAAATGCAAACGGTGCCCGTTGCGTTATTTGATTCTGGTGTCAATGTTTCCAATAAAACTACAACCAGAACTAGACCTGGGATGGTCGCGACCGGCTATCCGGCTGAAACACGTAGAACAAACGGGTTGGGCCCTCTGGAACAGATTAACAAACTTTGTTCTTCCTGAACAACGAAAGGACCTAAAGATACTTAATACACCGACGCTGGCAAATCAACAAACAGCTTGTTGGTGTGAGCACAATGTCTTGGAGACGTAAGTGAACTTTCAGTCCCAAAAAAGGCAGAACATCGAAAATATCGCCACCTGTCCAGCTTGCTTCCACTCACGGTCTCGTAATCTTTTAACCTAACGTACTCAGTCGCAATTTTGTGCTTACGTAACAGACACAGCAGTAGCAATACAGTGCGTCATAGATTTGACGCAAAAGTTCTGCTCGGCGTGAAACCCTTGCAGAACTAATGAAGCATAGCAAGCGTCGGTTGACCCGATGGCATAACATGTAAACGGTGGGGACCTGCTGTACTAATTCAGGTACGTTGCACTGCTGCGTAGCTTGGTCTTGGCTACTTCGTTATCCTCATGATTCAGTCCTCACGACCGAGGTAAAACGACAACTAGAAGACGGTGACAAAGCGTGTGTGCGTGCGTTCCCTCTCTCTCTCTCTCTCTCTTTCTCGCCTTCCTCACTCTCTCCCTCTCCCTATCTTCCCTCCCTCTCCTTACCTTCTCTCTCTTTCTCTCTCCCTCTCTCTGTCTCTCTCCCTCTCTCTCCCTCTGCCTCTCTCCGCCTCTGTTTCTTCATCTCTTCCTCTCTATGTCTTCTGATCTTTTGTTTCCTCCCCTTTTTTCCTTCTCTCTATTCCTCTATTTCTCTCCCTCTCCCCTCTTCAAGAAAACAGTGTAGATTGAAACACGTACGTCCTCCATGACTTGTGATTTTAGAACCCTCGGCCGTAAGAGAAATAAACACACATACCATCAACATTTTAAGCAGGGCACTTTGCGGCAACTTGCCACCCACATATATTGGCAGTACGATTTCTGGCGTCGTTGCCCCGAACTGGATCAACAAAGACAACCATGTTTTCGCGTGTTATGCTCGGTCGCATATGCACTGTAGCCTTTTCGCAGAATTGTAGCGGCCAGAACTGCGGAAAATCAAAAGGTAGTAGAGCAGCCGTGTGCAGCGGCGAGCCTCGAATACAGCACTAACACGGACCGCCTGCCGCTATACCGAGTGACATTTTTTCCCCGCAGCAATACCCACCATGGTAGGGTGTGTGCCGATATGCCCGGAAGTGGCCCTCGCCATCCCCATTGGATATGGATCCGTCTCTACTCGGGGAAGACGGGCTGACTGCTGTCACGCAAAATAAACATGCGACAACTGTTTGGTCGCATCGTCACGCATCCGATGCGACCATCTGTCCCCAGTAGGTTAACGAGGACGTCCGGCTCAAAGGCGCCGTCGGTCGCAGCCGTCAGCGGCGGTACTGAGCCATGCTGCCGGCTGTGCCATCATTCACGCCTATGGCCACTCACGACAGGGTGGCGACGGGGCAAACCAATTTGTCGGGGTGGCCGCTGCACGCTGTGGCGCAGTTGGAATCGCCGTGACCCAGTTGGCATCGCTATGACCCAGTTGGAATCGCCGTGACCCAGTTGGAATCTGAAGATGTCCTCGGATGTGACTGTATTAGCACCCGTAGGCCAGACCCTGTGGTAACCCCGACCATTTTTGGTCGATTTCGAGGCGAAGAGTGACATTTTTGTCAGCATCAGCGTACTGGGGATAATCACCGGCCTTCTTTTACTGGCTGCCTTGTGATACCAGTGCTACAGTCATCTGCGGTACCAGCAGCAAATACACGGCACAAATGCGCATTAAAATCCCTACCATTTTTTTTCTTCAAATTTACATCTACACACGTTTATAATCCTTAGCATACAGATGACCTTACCTGCCTGGTTCCAACGCTAGTTCGGTGTACAAGACCCAGCTTGGGGCGGGCAGACCTGCTGGCTGATACTGGAATCAGGCAGACCTGCTGGCCGATGCTTGGGCCAGACGGACCTGCTGGCCGATACTGGAATCAGGCAGACCTGCTGGCCGATACCGGGATCAGACGGACATGCTGGCCGATACTGGGGTCAGGTCGACCTGCTTGCCGATACCGGGATCAGACGGACCTGCTGGCCGATACCGGGATCAGACGGACCTGCTGGCCGATATTGGGGCCAGGTGGACATGCTGGCTGATGCTTGGGTCAGACGGACCTGCTGACCGATACTGGGATCAGACAGACCTGCTAGCCGATAGTTGGCGTTCATGGTGGCCTCTACCGATATTGCCAGACGGGAGCCTAGTCTCTTAGGTGCATCCAGAAGCACACAAATGTGACCTGAGCCAGCGTGTATGACCGACGAAACCAACCCCGAATGTAACTGGAGCCTATGTGTGTAGACGGCAGAACAAGCCTCAAATGTGACGGGAATCAGAGTTCGTAACCGGAGCAACAGACCCCAAATGTGACCGGAATCAGAATTTGCAACCGGAGCAACAGACCCCAAATGTGACTGAAATCACTGCGTATAGCTAAAGGAACAAATCCATCTCTATCAGCCGGGAGTACCAAGCAAATGTGTGCTTAGTTCCGTATGCCTCAGTTTTCGTTAAATTGCCGTGAACTTTCATGAATCGGCAAAAATAGCAAGAAAACAGGACGAACGACGGGTTTCGGGACAATTTCGATTTACATCGTTAACCCTTGCCCTGATTGAAGGGAGAGGGGCCACACAACGCTAACCCCTAACTTTTTCTAAGGATCTAATCTTTTCTGTTTTTTTAGACGCGTTTTAAGGTGCGTTTGGACGACGACCTGCTTCAGGCACGGGCGACTGGTCGCAACCGACCAATCCACGGATCCGCCTTAAGTCAAAATCCGCCAGATCCGTGGAAAATTACACAAGGAACATGACTGCAAACATCGTGCTGCTGCACGATATAATTTGGTGAATAGTGGCATGTAAATCTGAAATGTCCGATTTTCAGGAAAACCTAACATTAAATGTGGCCTAGTTATCGTTCACCTAACAACATAGACTTATAAGCAATCACTACATGTCACCAAGCCAAGCCCCCCTATCATTTTCGCGGGCCTGTCATTCTTGACTTGGAAAATGTAGGGGGATGGGTAACTATGCGTCCACGTTAGGAAAAACGGCGAATGCAGATGAAGGTTGAAATAACGAGCAAACCCATATAGTACATACGTGTGACAAAAGCAATGGGTTTGGCTGAAGTGAAGGTTACAGCAAAATTCAGTTATGCCTCAGATTCGCAACGGACAAGTGATTTGCTTCCTGGTTACCATTTGCATACGTTGTCTACCAGAACTAGTGATACAGCTACTGTTTTTTGTTGTATCATCCCCCACCTATTAAGGTTTATAGCTTGCAAACATGAACACTGCTGCTCTCCAAAGCCAATACTGTGCCCTCCTATGACATAAGGTTCAAATAGGGGGATCTAATGCGATCTGTGTAGCATTCAACATCGCTGATTACGCAGGAGGGATGATCACCGCGTTTTACGAAGCACGAACCGACAGCTCCTTTGTTTGTGTGCCCATTGGCCTTTGCCTGGATGGTGTCTGGGGTGGAGCGGTGTACGTTATCAGTCGTGGCTAACGAGCCTTTGCTATGCATAATGCCATGATTACAAGCATGAGGAGCCATGTGGACTCGTGGACTTGGACTAAGTGCTGATATGTCCGGTTGTGATCTGCGAGTGCAATTGGCGCATTCATTATGATTTCATAGACTGAAGCCGGACGTTTCAGATTACCTGTAACGCTCAAGTAAACGATGTCTTGATCGCGCCATTTGGTGATGACTGCTCTAGGCACAGCAGATTCCTCACTGAATGTCGGAGCGTCGATATTGGTGGCACGCGAGGAGCCTTATCGATTTCAGGAGCACTATGCGTAATTCCGTCACAACTAGTTTGTTGTCGACACACGGCGCTCTCGGCGCGTGTCTGCTTTGTCCCTTCCGTCCAGGCTTTTGTCAACACACCTCATAACACGTATGGACAGCGTGCGCCGCGTCAAGATGGCCTCCGTGAGGGCCGCTCATTCAGCTGCTGTCACAGCAGGCGCACGCTAATGGACGCTAATCGGCGTCCCCGGCGTTTGTTTTGACTCCACTGCATGGTTGCCCTCCGTGTGAGAGACGCAGGGACAAATAGTCCGACGTCTAATTGCGTTGCTTATTTCAATGTGCATGGTTCGCTGGTATAGTGTGCCACAGCGGCGAAAAGAACGTCCACACCAAAAACAACAAAGGAATAGCTGAAAATTCCGTTGTTGGCTAACTGCGGCGGCGAACAGCAACTCTGAGAACACAGATCTGAGCTGTGCGATCCAACTGCGCTGATCCTTATCGATTAGCTTGTTTTGTTGGTTTCGTCAGTGATACTTAGCCGTGCTTCAACTCAAGCCTCCAAATTCACCCTTCAAGTCGGAACTTTTCCACGTCATCCAAACACAACTCCATCCGCAGCCTTCGTGCCTCAGGCCTTCTGCGCCGCGCCCTCGCCGCGTGACCCCCGCCCCGCCCCCGTCCCCGCTAATTGGTCTAACCGGGACACCGGACCGCCCATCGGTCGTCATTCGTCCCCGCGCCGGCACGCCAACACAGGATCGCGCCCGCCGGCGGCGGGCTCCGGGCGCCCGCCGCCCGTGCCCGTCTGCAAGCGGGATCAATCCGTGCCGCGGCGGGCTGGCCCGCCAAGGTCACGGGGCGGGGCCTGACCGGAAACGAGTCGGACGGATGGCCCGAGGCGCCGCGCCCGCCCAGCCCCGACTGCCGCGCGGTGACGTCACGGAAGGCGCCCGGGGGCATTCCGGACGTGGGAATGGCAGCTGTAAGCTGAGCTGACGTCACGCTTCGTCGTGATGTTACCAGTGCCGGAGGCCTAAAAAACCAACGGGGAGTGGTGGGAAAGACACCAAATTTCTCCCTATTGCTACAAAAATTGTTGTTATTCGGTGCATTTTGGTAATGTTTAGAAACTTTGGTCAAATATTGAGGAGGACAAGAAAAACCAGGAGGGGAGGAGGGGAAGGCGAGAGAGGGGAGGGGAGAGAGGGAAAGAGGAGAGAGAACGAGAGAGAGAGAGAGAGAGGCGAGAGATGAGTCAGAGGGCGAGAGGAGATGAGAGAGAGAGCGAGAGAGGAGAGAGGAGGAGAGAGATGAGAGGGAGAGAGAGAGAGGAGAGAGAGAGGAGAGAGAGAGAGAGAGCGAGAGAGGAGAGAGAGAGAGAGAGAGAAGAGAGATATAATAGTATATTATATATATATATATATATATATATATAAATAATGTATCTAATGTCTCATTCTCTCATTCGTTTCGGCCTTTGACATCTCTGGGCCATGACATGGTGCTCCTCCGTGGGGCAGGTTTCTCGGTGCTGCCCAGCAAGTACAGCGTGGAGCGGCGCGGCTGGGACTACACGTCAACGCCGTCGCCGCCGCGTGACAGCTTCGGCCGGCCCTACAAGGGCTCGCCCACCGGGCGGCCCATCCTGCAGCCCATCCCGGGCGCCCACAGTCAGCTGCACGGTGAGTTTTGGAGGATTCGTCGGGAAAGGAGAGAGGCGTCCATTTACATGCGGAGGCAGACTGTGCCGTCAAGAATGGAGAGGGGTATACATATTCATGCGGAGACAGACTGTGCCGTCAAGAATGGAGAGGGGTGTACATATTCATGCGGAGACAGGCCGTGCTCACTACAGCATGATTTTTGAAATATCATAACTGATAACGTAAGTCGACTTTATCAATGCAGATATCGACATAGGTAAACATGTGCATTTTTTACTATCTTTACCCCGAGAGGCATGTGCAGTGATACGACACACGACGGAGAAGTTAGGTGCCTGAAGAGCGCTCATGATATTTTTGATCAGTTATTGCACCCAAGCCATTGATCTTTTGCTGTTATTGTCAGGGAGTCGTGCCGTGATCTGAGGTCACCACTCAGGGTCACCACAGGTCACCGCTCGCCGCCGACCTGCGAACGGTGACATGCTAAACAAACTGCGGACCAACACGCAATGGCTGCATGCGTGCATATCAATGGGCACAAATTTGTAGCATAGTTACTTGAATAAGCATGCATAAATTTTGTAACCACTTGAGCTGTCCGAATGGATTAGACATGGCTTTCGAACTCGTCTACACGTACAGTCACCACGAATCAGCCTGCTCCGGTGGCACCATGCGATAATGTCGTCACCAGCGCCACCTATATCCCTGTCAGTGTAAGCTTTCGACGCCAGGGATTTGACAGGCGCTGGCCTGTTACGGTACAGGATTAGGTGCGCATATATCACTTCTTCCTCTAAGCTGATCATGCATCAAAATCCGGCACTAAATAAACAGGAACGGGACTAATTGGGCCGCCATGGTAATGGAGGGGAGTATAGGATATTCTCGCACGCTTGTAGGTGCTTGCCTGGCAACCCCTTGCGCAGAAATGCTTCAGATTTAAGCAAGTGAGCTTCTGGAAGCTTTTCATATCTAACGTGCATATTGCATCTGATTAGCGAGTTAGATGACAGACGTGCCGCATAACGTTTCTATATGCTGTTGTACAGATGCGCCCACAAGGGAAAGACGCTGGAGCCCTTGCCCCTCCCCGAGCAAGCGCGACGTCGCCGGAACGGCGAGAAAAACACAGGACATGTTGGGGCTCGAATAGTGCACACTTTCAGCCCTGTGAAGCAACAGAGATCTGCTGTCGGAGACTTCTCTAAATCGAACCTCCTATTCTGCCTGAGTGACTGCATTAGCGTGAAATATGATCTTTACTCTGTGCTGATATTGTTGGCTTCTACTGTCATTCAATGTCTCAATTGTTGAATTGGGTTGTCATGTATGCTATTTTGTTCACGTCATTGTTAAGCATTACGTCGTGCACTTGCAGGCCCCTCCAGCTTGGATGGTTGGGAAGTCGAGATAAAAGGTCAAACTATTCTTCCGAGTGGAGCAAATAGCGATGTTACTGACACGCATCTTTATATTTTTGGCAGTCCCTTTCAGTGCCGATGACGTCAGGTTGGGTCAAAAAAATTACACGCGGGGACGAGCTTAAGAAAATATCTGTGGCGTATGAATACCACTGCTGTAACTGCAAATCGTGGGCTCAACATCAGTCGAGTCAAAATCTTCTCCGATCACTGGATAACCTTCGATAATCATGGATATGTGACTGCTCCGCAGAAAACGCTAGCATGCCTTGACTTGAGCAAACTTAAAGCTACTGTCTTAAAAAGACGTTGAAAATCTAGCAAACCACAAGTTGAGCAGTAAATTTCACCCAAATGATCAGCCATAAGAGAAAGCTTAAAACATTCACGTTAGAAGTTGTATAAAAGTCATACCGCCGTGATAAACATCAACGTTTTATTTGGCACATTGGATGTGGACTGCGCTGTCGATCGTGCTAAACAAGCATCAGCTTATCTTACAAGCTGGTGTGAGGCAAATTTGGAGCTATAAAGGCATTTGCCGGTATACGACTTACAGTACTGACGAACCATTATTTCCTGGAAGACAATGTTACGGGAGTGAATTTGGTCAAACTTACAAGCTGAGTCTTAAATATTGTCGTGTTTTCCCAATCGATCAAATCCATTTCACTGCCATCTCGCAAATATCTTGTCAAACATGCCTTCCTTTTTAAAAAGAATGTAGGCGTAATATATGTAAGAATATGTGCGTAAAGGCAATGTGAAGGGACGATCCTAAATCGTAAACATCAGACAGCGTGCTGCGTAGTCGATACTGAAGCTTGAATCTACATCACCATTGAAGAGGCTCCAAACTCAGTCCAATAGTGCTACTCCTGGCCCCGCCATCATGCATGAAATATATGGCCCCTGATCTGTGTTGGCCGCAGCTGTGTGTGTGTGTGTGTGTGTGTGTGTGTGTGTGTGTGTGTGTGTGTGTGTGTGTGTGTGTGTGTGTGTGTGTGTGTGTGTGTGTGTGGTGTGTGTGTGTGTGTGTGTGTGTGTGTGTGTGTGTGTGTGTGTGTGTGTGTGTGTGTGTGTGTGTGTGTGTGTGTGTGTGTGTGTGTGTGTGTGTGTGTGTGTGTGTGTGTGTGTGTGTGTGTGTGTGTGTGTGTGTGTGTGTGTGTGTGTGTGTGTGTGTGTGTGTGTGTGTGTGTGTGTGTGTGTGTGTGTGTGTGTGTGTGTGTGTGTGTGTGTGTGTGTGTGTGTGTGTGTGTGTGTGTGTATTTGTGTGTGAATGTGTATGTGAATGCAAATAGGTAACCAGTTTGCCCTCCCAGCCATACAGAGGGTGACACCTGCCAACCGCAAATATCGCGATATTACGCAATTCGTTCGCATTTGTTTTGTTTCCAAAGCGCTGTGTGTTATGCTCCAGACGCTGGTGCACCTGGCGTTGTGGGACAAGCGAGCAGCAAATCTTCGGAATATACTCGACAAGAGGTCAGTACTGTCGTGTTCGAGATCACATGCAGCGCTTCTCTGCGTTAAGATACACACCCATCATGACAGAACTATTCACAAAGGCATTGTGGATCAACTTGTTCAAACATTTGTTCGCCACTGGATTGAAAAATAAGCGATTCTAATACAGCGGTTAAAATCGCCAATTTTATCATTAACGCCCATCAGCTTGACGTCCGATAAATCTAAATAAAAGGCGTATTACTGTCATGCGCACGTTCTAAAAATTACCTTTTCAAATTTGCATTTTGTCTAGGGAGCGACGTGTACAGTACTAAAACGATAGGTAGATTTGCACAAAATATGAGTGTATACACGGGCGTTAGCGTCCATGGCTCGGCATTTCCGGCCACACTACCCGTAGGATCACGTTGCCAATGCAAGAAACATCATTATTTTGAGCTAACCAGTGAGCTGTGCTGTCCTGCAGTCGAGGTACACACGCCTTCCGCCCCACCGCGAGGTTCTCACCATCGATAGATCACCGGAGCCGACGGGAGCTGAGCTCAACCACACTCTTCGCCCGACGGAGAGATCCCATCTAGTCTTTGAGAAAGGAGGAGTTGGACCTTCTAAAACTAGGTAAGCTGATAATGGTGTCGTGTTTGATTTCATGCTTACCTGCCCCAGCCGTGTACACAGCTGAAATGTTCAGAACACTTTTCCTACGTTGGCATGCTTGGCAAACTTACCGCTGGCGAAGATAGCGAAACATCCTCGTACTTCAAGCTTTACTACTCGGTGTTGTCCGCAAACATTTGCATAACTTGGGACTGTGGAAAAAGCAACAATAAAAAACAACTGTATCTTCATCCATCGCTCATCAATTACAACCTTTATTCTTCGCCATCGCATTAATTCGTATGCTGACAGTTATATGCTCAAATTTGCATCTACTGTACATTGCAATGTGCGGCAGGCTGGTGCAGCGTAGATAAAGCATGTCCTGACATAACAAAATTGGTTGTGAAGTACAGCCAGCCAGATATGTATAGCATGACACTGTATTCCACTTCGTAATCTGAAAGCTCACATTGACCTATCGGAAGGCAATTTTGATCTTATTTGTGTCGCCAGCATTTGACGCTGTACTCTTGTATGTTGAAAGCACATGTTTGGCAAGGCATTTATGCGCAAGTTGGTATGATGTAATGTAACCGATTGCTGGGAGAACTGCTCCTCCACATTTCTCTGAAATTACTTGGTTGCTGTCGTTTCATTGCATATTGTTGTCTGGCTTCATGCACTTTCTGCATTGAGTGGAAAAACTTGTTCTGCAAGCACTCCAAGAACATTCTGCGATAAGGGTAACATAGGATATTTGATTTCGCCTACATTTGTTCAGGAGCGTGTGTTTTTTTGTTTTCTTTGCAAGACGTAGGTAGTTACAAAAGGCTGTGGTTACCTTAGAAGTATAATATGATGATTACAACTTTAATTGTACTATCAGAGAGCTTGTTAGGCCATTAGTAACAAGAGATGTCTCGCCCCCCCCCCAAAAAAAAAACAACAAATTAGCAGCACTGGCACACTTGTTGACAAAAGGCAAGTGAGAACAATGGTCTATTGAGCTCACTGGACGTCATGATCATACGAGACCTGGTTTTTACCACTAGAATTTGCATCCCATCACATCTGCTGGATGACTTCATGGAGTAACCGCGCCTAAGTTTTGTGCACGGATATGGCGTCCATGTAACCCTTGCTCAATATGATATCCAAGCCTCGACATGCCAACAGTCTGAGCAAGATATTTTATCAGAGCCTGGCGCTCAGTCCGCACTCAATTAATCATGGCAACAACGCGATGCGCGGTGGGTTTTTAGGGTTCCGGCTACAACACAAATGGTCGTAAAAAATAAAGTTGTTATGAGTTGCAATAAAACGGTTGTAACGGCAACAGAGCATGCTCGCGCAAAGTTTGGGTGTGTACCGCACGTCGGACACTTCAGACGCTCGTTATCCGGCACCGCGAATGTCAGCTGTCAGCGACGTCACACGACCCGCGCCATTCATCGCTAATGGTCGCCCCCCCCCCCCCGTTCCTCCCCTTGTCTGGGCCGGATCCACGTGACTGGCCCCCGTCTCTAGGGGAGCGGGCACTGCGGTGTTTGCCGAGCTATCACTAGGCAACGCTGGCTGACGCTGAAATCCATACGACTGTGGAGGTAACCCACGCGACGGCTAACGACAGCGCGACCGGACGACGGCCGTGCGCCAGTTACTGGAGCTTTGCCGATATGGTCGGTCGTTAGTGATGGATGCATTTTTATTCCAAGACCGACAACTTTGCTTTTAGAAGTGGCCGGTTGGCGCAATCTTCAAGCTCTCGACAACGGGATAAACCAAAAATGATCGTTTAAGTTTGGAGGTCATCGGCTTCTCATTTTTCGTGTTTGTAACTGTTTCCGGTGATCAGCAACGGGTAACATTTACGACAGTATCCTAATCATCCTTGGGCCGTCAAAATACAGCCCCTACCTTGGACAGTGGATACGCCAATCTTGATCGAATATCATGAAGGCTGTGCGTGACCGCCGCGCTCAGACAACTGCATTGGGTAAACGCTGGACGACCGCGACAAACAACATATTGCTGGTTCGTCACAGGCACGACACGAAGCCAGACACGCCCTGGCCGCGTGTGGGGTACTCGGGTTGTACACTGCCTGGTGCAGCTTTCCTTCATCCGGCCAGAACATGCTGGCTAGAACCAGCCAAAGGAAGTGAACGAATTTATGTTCATCAAAAAGCATGAATAAAAGAAGGAAGGTGAAGAAGGGGAGATGAATAACATAGCATAGCCCGGAGATCATCAGTAAGAAACCGATGCTGGCAAAAGGGGCTTAGGAAGCACCCATCAGATCTCCTTGCTTCTATTTCCTTTGCCTTCGTATTCCTCTTTCATCTTAACCGACCAAAATCTAACATCAATAAAACCCCTGTAATCTTCCCTTTCATTGCCATCGTTAAGTACCCATGAACCCTTTGAACAATATAAAGCATGCGTGGAAAGTTTTAAAAACCGGGAAAAGACCAGCTGTTTGGCTTGGCTGTGGCAGAAAGGGCTATCATAGAACAGGTGTATGCTGTCAAGCGGTCTCGTGCTACTGTAGAAAACCATATTAAGTCGGTGCTCTGCTGGGGTTTCGCTCTGAGACCAGAATGTTCAAATAGGTGGCTATCAGTCGCTGGCTATACTGAGTTCATACGACCCGCTACATTCCATTATCTTAAGCTACCTAGACGAGATACGTACAATGAGAAATGGTTTACAAACGCCATTTCCAATCAAATATTTTTAGGGTGTCCAGAAATTCATTCTCTTACGCTTACGCGGATTAATTTGCCCAGGACCGCCGCAAGAGGATACAGTTTTACTAAACCTTGTCCTAGGGTATCATCACGGGTCAGCTATTCATGTGACCCTGCCGAGCGACCTGGCCTGACCCGGTTGAATGGCCAAGGACCAGTGCCATACTGGTACCCGGGGCACGGCAAAGGGTGTCATGATGGTCAGAGAGCGTACATCATCGACTCGCTGCGGGGCATTTAACGTGGCGCGCAGCGGAAAGACCCAGCTGTTGGAGAACAGCACCGGTCGGGGGAAAGGGCTCGGTGCGTATGGCGGCCAAAATCGTACTCTGGAAGTCCGCCGAAGAGCGACGAGTCGACGGAGAAGCTGGCTCAGATGCCGACGGTTAAAGTACATCCAGTCTCCGACACACATGTCTTGGAAACGCTCGTCAAGTATGCCTGACAAAGTTCATGCACCTCATGTTCACATAGTTTTGTCTCCAGTCAAGGCCGATGGAGTTGCGAAAACGCAGCTGACTGGAATTCGCCAAGGCACTGCGGAACTTGACTCTCAGGAGCTGGAGGTGTGTCCTGTTTCCTAGCGAGTCCTTTTCAAGCTCTTCCGCCCGTTCAGCCGACAGAACGAGCGTGTCTGGGCGAACCACGGCTCCGAAGTCTCCGTCATCGGGATTGTCAAGCAGTCGCTGAAGATCCTGGTGTGGGGGAAGATACGCTGCCGTGGAATGCCGGGCGCCTGCCGAAAGCCTGCAGATCAGGCCCCATGGTCAGACCGGCACAGGCGGCTGCGAAGTCGAGGAGGCCCTGGAGAAAACGTTGACGTTGCCAACAGGGGACGAAGGAGACGAAGAGGGGAACTTACTTTCATGCAAGGTCAATCTTAAGTCCGACATGTCAGGGGACGTCTCCCAACAGGACGGCGCTCCGGCTGATCGTACTAAGAAAGTGGGAGAGTGGTGCCGGACGACCTTTCCCCAGCTCTGGGCGGAGGACCCGTGGCCGAGCAGCAGCTCAGACCTGTCGTCGGTCACAAACCTGTGGCTGATCATCCAGGACAAGGAAAGCAAGAAGGCGCCAACTTCATCGAAGGGCACGCTGTCATAAAACATCGGACGGCTTGGTCCAGCATCATTTCGCAGACTCGGGACAACCGTAATTATTCCAGGACGGGTCGCGTGGAGGCTTGCTGTAAACAGTGGGGAGGGCACACGTGCCAACAAATCATGAACCATGCGCTCGTTGTTTTAATGTAAGTCTCGTTTAAACGGGCGGGGATCAATTTTTCAGCACCCCGAATTTTGCTGACTGCTTATGTTGCAAATATAGTGCACTGAGGGCGGACTCAACGACATAAGCGTATCAAAGGCCAAATCAGACATCGGCTCGCCAAAGCAAATGACACGCTATTTCCCGCAGCATTTTCACACGGTCAGGACTTTCATGCGCCCAGCTGGACGGCCCCAGCACCGTCCCGTAGAGAGTAGGTGAGGGCAGAGCCGTGTCACCGGGGAGGGTCCTGAGTACGCCCGCAGTGGTGTTGCTGGGCGCGCCGCTGTCCGCACGTACAGCGGCACTGCGGGGTCGATAGTGCAGGACGGCGAAGCTATTGACGCCATCAAGTATTCGGCGGCGGCCGGGCGGTGGCCAGTGCCGGCTGGTGTGGGGCCGCGTGCCGTGGCGCCGCTGCCAGCATGACCTGACCTGTGACCCGGTTGGCCGCCGCCCGGCGATCCGAACGCGAGCATGGGCGGCAAGCCGACCCGGCAGCAGACGCCCGTGGAGCGGATCCGAAGGGAGTCGGAGCCCCTGTGAGTGCCAGGTTTCTCAACCTTTCAAACTTCGTTGGTCCGGACCCAAACTGTCCGAATGCCTCCGACGGGAATGGGCGCCGCATTTATTTGCAGAAGTTTCCATCTTAACGACGTTGCGGAGAACTTGTACGTTGTGGTGTCAACGTTTTGGAGAAAGTGTTGTGTGTCCGGGAAGTGTTGAGTTATGACTGGCGTCTGTCACGCGTAATGTGCCAGGCGTGACCTGTGATGATTTCGGACCAGTCGCTTAAAATTGATACAAATGGCTTTGATATTGAAGCATGCTTTACCGCTGCCTCGTCCCAAGAGCTGAAGGTATGACAAACGGCACTTAAGGCACTTACATATTGCTTTCACGGTGATAAGTCGTGCTCCAAAGCCATTAAACAAAGTGTGCGGTGAGTTCGGGCATCTGCTTGTCATTGAAGAGCTGTAGGTGTAGATGCTGAGCATTGACCCTAACACATGTTTACAGCTACTGCGCAGTTATCTAATTTCTGCATTAAGACAAGATCTGCTATTTACACAATGAAGCAATAGCAACACACAACTTATTTTTTTTGAACTGACCTTATATACAACTCGATGCTGTATTCGCGACAGCGCTTGACATTTAAACCAGCGACAAGATAAGTGCTGAGAGCGCTTGGAACCTCGGAAATGATAAGTGTTGCGATGACATGGGATTGGGAAGAGACGACCTACGAAAACATGTTGCGTGTAGGAATGCAGCCATATTGACAGATATGGCGAATGTTAGTGGAAAGGCGTTAACCTGTTGCGATGCTATTCGCACAGCGGCACTCACGATCTCGGGACTCGGTGTGAACGTTCTGGAAATGGGCGGGTTACACTTCGTCGATGTTGAAGTGAAAAAAACACAACGAAGACATCCCCGCATATATTGTTAACGCAATGAGGATACCGATGCCAATGCGATAATTTACAGCACGGGCTCATATTTAAAACCCGAGTTACGAGGCTCGGTTCCCCACGATGCCCGCACTTCCCGCCAGGGTGAGTGGCAGGCTCTGGTTCCAAAGTGATGCAAGGCCTGCGGTTTTCGTAGGCAAAGTGGAACGAAATTTCATCATCAGCTGTGGCAGTGATACACGTATATCGGTACAAGGTAGGCCAAAAGGAGGGCAAAAGATCGGGCAGGTTTTACAAAAAGTTAACAATGGCATGCACTCGTTATACAAGTAACAGCAATATACCCGTTTCCTTTCTGTTCTGCAATGATGCACCGAAACGCAGTACATCACTGCAGAACAGAGAGGCCTCATTGACACTGTTCTCATTGGAAATATGGGTGTCGCAAATTTTCACGCGGTATGCAGAGTGTATTGCGATTCGTATCATAATGAGCGTATGCAGTTCGTGCACCGTTATGCAAATGGTGTACAATAATGCTTCCCGATCAAAAAGATTTCTCGGAACGGATGAACGAATTTTTCATAGTAAGCAGTTAGTGACTGATGCTGGCCATTTTTTAAAGATTGATCAAGCACGGCTACTCATCATGTGGTCGGATTTGGACCGGGACTTTGTTCGCATATTCCGCTATGCCAGAGACGTTTTAGTATGGTACAAAGCAGCTACATATTTACGCTTTCTTTTCAAGGATTAAGAATGACTTGACCTGCAAGGTCAACAGTTGCCTGAATGGTCTGGTCGGATATGGATTGGATCAGATGAAACAAATCGATCCGTTTCGTTCTCTGGTATCTATCGACTGACGTTTTCTGTGGCTTTAGTTCAAATGGAGGTAAGGCGGTGTGGGTTGACTCTTTAGTGGATGGGTGAATGAATCATTGCCTGGCATCATGAATCGCCTGGCAGGCGTTCACTTCGGAGGGTTAGGACTAGGTCAACAGGAACGTCAGACTGTTTCCGGTTCTGTCGATGGTTACATGTAATGATTCAAGCCAATTTTGCTGACACGTCATTCGTATATTCTACACCTGACTGCATATACAACACTTAAAAGCTTGATACCAAAAGCTGCATGTCGAAAGAATACGATCAGACTGTCTGATGGCTTACGAAATTGATTCGGTGTTCATCAATCACAGGATCATAATTTCTTACACGAAAGAAGTTATTTTAACAACAAGCCAGAGCTGTGAGTACGCGGCTGCATCATACAGAGTTGCTTGATATAAGCACTCTGAGATCCCAAAGATGTCCGAAAAATTTCACTCAACGTTATTCCATGTTTTCAATGTTATGGGCGATGAAGCTTCGGGAGCACGGCTGATATGCAGTCTGGTTGTGGTACGGTAAAAACAAAGTTGAAAATCAAAGTGTGCCCAACTACTCACACAGGGTGCCTCGAAACCGGTATTAAGAACACTGCCAGAAAATATCATTGACATGGTAGATGGGTGATGTACACCGACGTTGTTGCTAAATACTTGCGACATTGCTAAATAATCGACCAAATTTTTGTCGCAGCAATGCCATTAACTCATGATAAGCATAACAATTGTGACAGACGTCGTGAAAATGTACCAGCCTCCTCTGAAAGTGTAAACAAAATGGTCAGGTCACAGCACAAATGTGCTGTCTCTTACGCTATGCCAAAATCTGACCGAGTGACCCTCCCGCGGCAGCACCCACCAGGAGAAGGCGGTGAACGGCAAGAAGTTGACGACCGTCTCTGCCCCGCACAACAGCGAGCCCGGCCACCGGTACAGCTACCACGGCGACAGTCCCAGCCGGCGCGCCAGTCTCCTGCCGCAGGGCCACACGCACGGTCAGTGAGGACGGTCGGTGATGACGGTTGGTGATGACGGTCGGTGATGACGGTTGGTGATGACGGTCGCGGTCGTGACGGACGCTGGTCACCTGAGGTCACCGGCCGGGCGGCGTGGAAACGCTGCTGGCCGATGATCGGTCACACGGATGGTGTTTACGATCTGGTGTTCGATGCTACGCCATTGGCGCAATGCGAAATTCCTTACTAGTAAACGGCGCTTCAAGCTGTTTCCCGATGTCACCGCCCCTGCATTTACGTCTACAACCTGGACACTTTGAAAATGTGCTCAATTACATCCATGCATGCGAGCTGCTATCTGTTGCATGATGCAGTGTTGTGAGCGTGGATCTAGGCAACCGCATGCCACTGGTTGCCGGCATGGGGCGTCGGCGGTGCGCCGAACCGGCAGCCGCCAGCGGCTGAGCGGGCGCCGGCCGGTTACAGGCGTCCTCCTGCCCGACCTGGTGCCGTCGGGCGGCCGGAGCCGGTCGCGGACCGCTCGGCGCCGCCGCCCGGTGGTAGACCGCTTCCTGGGCCTGCTGCCGCCGCTGGCCGCCGCCTGCCCGCCCCCACCGCCGCCCCGGGCCAGCCCCGTGCCCTACTCGTTCGACCGCCCCGCCGCGCTTCGGCTGCGGTACGCGCCAGACGGTCGGATGCCGCCGCCACCGCCGCCCGCCGCCGGCGGCCGCCGCGTGGCCGAGGAGGTGGCCGCTCGCTGCTGCCGCCGCTGGCCGCCGGCCGACGTGCTCAAAGCTCTGGAGCAGATGCCCGCCGCAAGGCGGCAGGCCTGTCGCGGCGAGCTTTGGCAAGACCTAGTCGTGGAACTGAAAATGAGGGCCGCTGAGAGGTGAATAAAGTTTGGGTGTTTCTGTTCTATCCTCTTACAGCGTTACATTACACACGTGGAGAACGTCGCCGAACTGAAACACGGTATGCAGAAATGAAATAGCCCGTAATCGCTATTTTACGGCATTTTTCCTCAAAGGTTCGGTACCCGCAGCCTTTTTACATGACTTTCCAGACCCTGTGCCCACCATCACCACACCGCGTAACCTTATCACGACGTCCCTTCACAGACCTTTCCCATTCTCCACTGCCGTGCCCTGGCTCTCGGGCGCGCCACACTCCTCGGCGGCGCAGTCCGAGGCGATGATCCTCTCGTTCGTGGAGCCGCTGCTGCGCGGCGCGCCAGAGCCAGCCGGCGGCGAGCGGCCGAGCTGGCCCTGGTCTGACTGGCGCGGCCGCGTGCAGCGCTGGACCGGGGGCTGGCTGGGCGACGAGCCGCGCGCCGCGGACGCCGCGACCGCACCTGTCAGCCGCGCGACGGATCGACCGCATGCCGACCTGTCGGCTGCCCTCTGGCATCGATTCATCGGCAGACAAACGACCGGGGAGGAGGTGGGCGCGCCGGCCGCGGCCAGGCGGCCAGAGGGCGAGCGGCCGACGGCGGTGAGCCGAGCGGCGGCCGCGGCCACCGCCGCCCCCGCCGAGCCCGACCCGACCGACGTGTGCGAGGCGCTGAAGAGGGACCTCATCATGAACCTCAGCAGCCTGGGCGACATGCTGCGGCGCGACAACAGCAGCTGCAGCTTCTACTCGATGGAGTCGGACTCGCTGCCGGACCGGTCGGAGCCGCGGGAGTCGGAGCCGGAGTCGCGGCCGGAGCCGGGACTGGAGCCCGAGTTCGACATGGGGGAAGAGAGCGCGCGGCGCGAGGCGCAAGCGATGATGGCGGCCGGCGTGGGGCGACATAGCTCGTCGGAGAGCGAGCCGGGCCGACGGAGCTCGTCCGAGAGCAGCGCGGTGCCGCGCTGCAGCTCCAGTGACGCCTCTGACTCCCTCTGCCACCGCAAGTCGGCGGCGGCAAGTTCCAGAGGACAGGTACCGCGGCAGCGGAGCGACGAGTCGACCGGCAGCAGCAGTGTCAGCGAGTGCGCGCAAGTGCGGGTGACGGTCACCGCTCAGAGACGGAGCGGACCGAACGCCGGTTTCCGCACGGACTGCCGGGCTGGTGACAGGTGCAATCAGGCGGGGACGACGGTGGCCGGAAGCCGAAGCTTTGAGTCGACCGACAGCGAACGGGGACGGGGGCCGACCGCGGACAGGCCAGCGAGGGTGCAGGTGGTGGTGGCGGCGCGATGCAGCTTCGAGTCAACCGACAGCAGTCGCACCGGGGGCACGATGGCGACAGCGTTTGGCAGGCTGTCGCCGTTGATGGAGAGACAGTGGAGCTCGGAGTCGGCAAACAGTACGAGAACGAACCAAAGAAACGTTGAGTTGTCAGATGATCTGCGCCTGCGCCTGCCCTCCCCGAGAACGTCTGAGTCGGGCGACAGTGACACAAGCGGCCACGGAACGGTCCGAAAAGCCGACGAGATTTGTGCACAAGAGCAACGGGCGGATATTTATGAGTCGCTACGAAGTACGGAAGAACATACCCTGCCGGCACAAAGAGTACACTGCGAACAAAAGGCAAATGCGCCCACCTCGGGTTATGGGGGAATTGTTGAGCAGAAGTCATGCAGCTCCACACCTTCGGAGAATGCAAACACGTGCAACTGGAAGGGCGAGGCCGTAAACGATGTTGATACCAGCGGTGGTTCTAGCATTGCAATGGAATCCGCCTTGAAGCCAGAAGTGCCGAGGCATACAAAGAGTCATGCTGGGCCGAATATGGCGGCCATCGCCACCCGCGATGCCTACGTTAACTGCCCAGAGCCACGCTCTTGTCGGCCAGCGGAAAAGACAAAGCATCTCGCCGGGCCAGAAATATCTTCGCGTATGGTGCTTCGTAAGGCGATTATCGCGGGCAATCGCGTCCCGTCAACCGACCACCAGCCTGCAGCACCAGCTGACAGCAGTCCCTCAGCTATTGACCCTCCCCCCTCCCCGGTCAACGACCGGTGCGACGCCACGTTTTTAATCGCTGGCACGGGTGATGCGGGTTCCGTGTCAGCGGGCGCTCCGGCTCACGGCGTCCGGACAATAACAGCGGACCACGACAGGGACGACACCGGCCCGCTGGTCAAGGAAGCCGACAGTCGCACAGAACCCCGAGGCAGGGAAACTGTCAGCTGTGAGGCATCCCGTGAGGCGGGCCATGCCTGTCGTGAACAAACTCAGGCCAAGGACGGTGCCAACCGTGGAACATCCCAATGCAGGGAAGCTGTCAGCTGTGAGACATCTCGTGAGGCGGGCCATGCCTGTCGTGAACAAACTCAGGCCATGGACGGTGCCAGTCGTGGAACATCCCAATGCAGCGAAGTCACCAGTTGCTGTGCATCTCAAGACAGGCAGGTCATCACACGAGGAGCATCTCCGGGCGTTGCCCACTTAAGCAGTCGTGGAGCACTTCAGATCGCGGACAACACCAGCCGTGGTGCTGCACCTCAGGTCGCGGACGACACCAGCCGTGGTGCTGCACCTCAGGTCGCGGACAACACCAGCCGTGGTGCTGCACCTCAGGTCGCGGACAACACCAGCCGTGGTGCTGCACCTCAGGTCGCGGGCGACACCAGCCGTGGTGCTGCACCTCAGGTCGCGGACGACACCAGCCGTGGTGCTGCACCTCAGGTCGCGGACAACACCAGCCGTGGTGCTGCAACCCAGGTCGCGGGCGACACCAGCCGTGGTGCTGCAACTCACGGCGCAAGCGCCGTCTGCCGTATAATGCATAAGAACAACGACATCGGCGGTCGTGAAAGGCCTCAAGACAGGCAAGCCATCACTCGTAATACTCTTCAGCTTCAGGACTTTGCTGGTCGAAGAGCACCTGAGGCCAAGGAAAGCGCCAATCTCGGAGCGCCTCAAGGGACTTTCACTGCCAGTCGGGGGAAGCCTCAGGCCACGAATGCTGCTATTGGCGGAGCATTTCATCACAAGAACAACGCCAGTCAGAGAGATGTCAAGGTAGGTGACTCAATGCGGGACGTCAGAGAGAACTCCGTCGGGCACTCCGGCAGGTCATGTTCGGCCGCATGGCACACCGACGATTCCCGGGAAGCCGTCAGCAGCTGTGTGGGCAGTGGTGCCGGCGGCGATATCGACCCCAGCGGCCCCGATACCGGTGTGAGCAGCACCGCCGACGAGGCGGGATACGGCGCCGGGCGCGATGGCCGTGCCGCCGCTGGAGTGGCGGCCGGACAGGCCGGTGCAGCTCGTGCTGGTGTTGACCCGCAGCAGGTGACAAGCGGCGACGGGCACCGCGGGGAGTCTGCACCTGGCGGCCCACCTCTCGACGACGGTGAGGAGGAGACCCGGTCTGAGCGCGTTTCCAGTGATGCTTTGCACGCTGGTGGGCAGGAACAGCGTGACCGCGCCAGCATCCCTGATGGCTCATCCGCCGAGGCATATCTCGCCGAAGCTGCGTGGGATCGGGAGCAAGGGAAGGTGAACGCTGCCGACAGGGAAGCAGATGAAGAAGGGATGCACGCAGAACCCGCCAACGCTGTCTTCCAGTTCCACGTTTCCGCGCCCCAGTCTCAACACTTAATGATTTGGCCTCCCGAAGTCGTTCCCCGCGCCCGGTCCAGGTCATCCGAGGACAGACCGAGCGTCCGGCCCGCCTGTCTTCCCTGCGCTCATCCCAGCGATGATCGGTGGCCGACGGCAGATGACCGTGAGGCGGAAGCCGACCTCTCACGCGAGAGCATCACCCTGGAGGACCTCCTCAGCGACGGTCTGGACAGCACAGTGCTGGTGGACGACGACGACGACGACGGCGCCGACGGTGGCGACGACAGCAGCAGGCGGTTCTGCTCGCCTCAGACGCCCGAGAGCGTGTCGTCGGCGATGTCGTCGCCGGTGGTCGGCGTCTCTCCCAGTCGGATCCCACAGCTGCGCGCGCGGCCGCGCCAGAGGCGCACCGGCTCGCAGCTGCCAGTGCTGGATCGGACGTACACCGTCAGTAGGGCGGCGTCGCAGGGTGGGCGCGGCTCGGCGTCGCCAGACACGCCACCGCAGGCGCGGACCGTCGCGGGCCGACCGCGTCTGCTGCTCAGGGCGACCACCGGCGGCTTCGATCCGCCGGAGACGGCGCCGGCCGGCGCCGGCGGGTCGCGGCTGACGCTGCGGCGAGGTGCGGACAATGGCGCCGTTGTGCCTGGCTTCACGGACACGTTTCCGCCGGCGGGCCGGCCGGGCGCGGCGGCGCTCGCTGTCGGCCCCACCACTGGGAGGTCACCTGCCCGGCCGCCGCCGCCGCCATCGCCGTCGCTGCCGGCCGCGACCGCCGGCCAGAGGCTCCTCATGCCGTCCAAGCCGACGGTGGCCTCAGTGCTGCGCAGCTCGACCATTCGGCAGGGTCTCGCCGCCGCCGCCGCGCTATCCGGCGCGCCGCGGGCGGGCGGCTCGCAGTCGTCCCTGGGCGAGCCGGCGCCGCAGCGGCCGCTGCGTTCGCTCTCGATGTGCCGCCCCGGCCGCGAGCCGACTGCTCGCGCGCTGCCGCTAGCCAGTGTCGGTCGGTACTCGACCATCCACGCGGGCCGTCGCGCGCCGCCGCCGTCCACGCCGCCGTCGCGTCCGACCGGCTTTGTCCAGCGGGCCCACTTGCCGACCCCGCCCTCCTCAGCCCCAGCCGTGCTGCCCGGCACGCCACACCCCTACGCCGGAGATTTTCGACCCACAGCTCAGGGTAGGGAGCCGGACAGCCGCGATGGTATGCGTGGTGACGTTTCGCACCTGTGCCCGCTTTGCTTGGTTTGATGATATCTGTTGTTTTCGTACGGCTTTGTTTCGCAGTTTTGTTGCATCCACATGGTTTTGGCAAGATCACTTAGCTGCCTCGTTCGTTCAAATTTGTGTTGCATGATTTCACCTCAGTTCGTTGCGCCATTCGTTCTTCCGTACATTTGATTTCCACAAGAGCTCACATTTACTGTACTGCTGCTTTAGCTAACCGCACCGCCTTCACCAGGTACCATGGGCAACGGACGCAGCAATGGCACGGAACAGACAGACAGGGCCTTCCACGCTTCCTCCAAGCAGTCCAACTTCGGCTACCACGACGACTTCAACTCCGACTCGAGTGATGAGGTCAGTCGCATTACTGCTGCCACCTTACGGACACATTACAGTGCGGGAATGGCTGGGTTATGGGTTTCACCAATGCTGATGTTCTTCACAAAGCTGTAATGAGGTTGACGCACCCTTGCTGTTCGTTCTCAATTGCGCTTCCGTTTATACAGTGGAAGTGCCCGTAGAAGGAAAATGGAAGCTTGTCGGTTCTTATCATATGCTGATGAAGCCCAGATCAATTTCTTGAATATGATGGTCATTCGCTCAGTCAGGAAATACGTATGCAATGATCTTAAATAAATTGTTAAGTAACGCAACTAATGCCGATAAGCGATCCAATGATGCGCTTCGACATCGTATCCTCAGCTCTCATTTAATACGGTTGCTAAAGCTGGGTTACGGCATTGGGTGTAATCAATCAATCTACACAATCAGCTTTCGAGAAGTCATCAGATTACCCGGGCAGCCCACGTACAATTGCGAGTCTTGTCACCCCATTTTGGTGGCTTGCCGGCTGTTGAGTTTCCCCAATTGATTGGGGTGAACAGGTATGGCGTAACTTCGGCTGATTGAGCACCAAGGTCGCTGGATCGGCGATCGATGGATCGGCCAATGTGACGACACGGTCATGTTTGAGTCCTTCAGTCGCGTGATGATGATGGTCGATATGTCGGCAAATCGCCGCCGCTTATCAATATCTGACATTGACAGCGATGAGACATGAAAGACTGCGTGGGGTGCAATTGGATAGTGTTCAGCTGCAGCGGTCCATAAAAGAAACATGAACCTTTCAGGGATGTGTGCTTGAACGTACACATCGGTAATTTATTCACCAACAACGTCGACTGCTAACGAGGCGTGCCCCACTGCACCCAGGACCCCAACGGGATCACCCTGTCCAACACAACTCGCAGTAAGATGAAGCTGCTGGCCAAGCGGAACGAGATGCGGAAGGAACTGGACCGGACGAACCACGAGACGGGCGCCGCGCAGCGCGACAGGGACGAGCGTAGCAGAAAGTTCAAGCAGCTGGAGAAAGAGTACTCGAGCGGAGCCAGCGTGGAATCACGTCTGGGTAAGCTGCGTGCCGGCCGCGCCGCCCCCGGCCGCCGCGCGCTCCTTTATCGACTCCGTCATGGCGACAGATGACGTCGTGGCGACGGGTGACGTCACAACGCATGCTGGCAAACATCGATTGCCGCCGTGGCTGCTGCGTATGCCGGGGGCCTCCTTGGGACATTGGCTGTTTGGTTGCTCTGCAGCCGCGGGGTGCGTCGACATGAACATGGCTGTGGTAGTTTGACACTTAATCTGGTATGCTGCATGCCGCCTGTCATAACGCGGAAGCCTGTGGACGGTAATCGTTATGTGTACAACTAAACCCGCCTTGAGCTGTTCAGAGGGGAGCTGAACCAGCCACCGGAGCACGTTTTGAATCGTCCGACTTTTTTGCCACGGCTTTCCACGTCGGTATCTGTCCCTGTGACAGCCTGTACATGTATGAACATACGGACTTCATCTGTCGTGTCTGGACGGCCCGCGGCACGCTGTGGCCCGGTGGGCGCGGGCTTGTTTGTTCATGCGTGCACGTGAGCCTGTGACCCCGTGCGCGCGGCAGCCGCCAAGAGGAACGGCCACCTGGGCAGAGTGCCCGGCCAGAGCTTCGCCTCTCCTCGCCGCTCGCCCCACCCGGCGCCTCTGCGAAGGGCCTTCAGTCAGGAGCGTGCCCAGCGCAGCCGCAGGCCTTCCCATGGTGGGTCAGCGGCGAGAGAGTCAGTGGTGGGTCAAGGGCGAGAGGGTCAGTGGTGGGCCAAAGGTGAGAAGGTCAGTGGTGGGTCAGGGGCGAGAGGGTCAGTGGTGGGCCAAAGGTGAGAGGGTCAGTGGTGGGTCAGGGGCGAGAGGGTCAGTGGTGGGTCAAAGGTGAGAGGGTCAGTGATGGGTCAGGGGCAAGATGGTCAGTGATGGGTCAGGGGCGAGAGCGTCAGCAGTGGATCAGGGCGAGAGGGTCAGTGACGGAGGATTGGGGACGGGCCAGGAGTAAGAGGGTCATGGTCGGCGCTGAGAGGATCAGTGACGGAGCGTCAACAGCGGGTCAGGAGTAAAAGGTCAGCGGATGGTTAAGAGGGAGGTCACCCGTGGGTCGGAGGTTGGAGCGTTGGTGGCAGCCGGGGTTGAAGGATTTAGCGGTTGGTCAGGGGACGCAGTTCAGGTGGTTGACCAAGCGTGATATTTCAGTACTAGACCAGGAGCAGCAGTAAGGGATGTGCCAAGGGTAAGAATGTTAGCTGATGTTCAGAGGCGGAGAGGGCCAATGGTAATCAGAGGTAAGGGGTTCAGCGGAGGTGGTGCAGCGGTGAAGGGTCAGTGATTAGTTAACGCGGAGCAAGATGGCCAGGCTTTCTCTTGCTGACACTGGAGGGCGCGAGGCCCGTGCTGGTGACTGTGTATGTCCAAGTCTGCGATGAGTGTGGTAGGGGAAGGTTAACTGCATGATACGGAAATTGTATGCAATGTAAATACACATCACCGGATCAAGGCTTGATGTTGCATGTCAACCTAGAATAATGAATGAGGTGTCTAGATGTTTCTCTACTACATATTGTACTCCCAGCAGCAGTGGCAGGCGATTAATCATTTTCAAAAGGATAGCCTTGCATGGTAAACAGCTGTGATGAATACATGGTGGCAATGACCTTTGAAGGAAACCATGGTTTGATCTCAAGAGGCAGTATCGGCGCATCAATGGCGCGTGAAGGCACTTTAGGTGTAGTTAACCACGGAAGTAATGTCACCTCGTCTGGGAGTATGCGTCGAGTTCTGTGTGACATTAACAGGTTATTGTTGCAGCTAATCACCTCAGCCCGGAGAAGCCCCCTGCGACACTGCTACCCAGCCCCCGGATGGAGAGGAAGTCAGGTAGCATGCAGAATCTGGCAACCAAACCGAAGCAGCCAGCACTGCCCAAGTCGAAAACGTAAGATGTTATCGACTAAGTAGCATCCTGCCTGTGTCGTGCAGCGAAACAGTTCATCTAATGCTACGAGTCCCTCAGGAGTTGCGCAATGGTTCATTAACTTAGACAACTTACAAGCACTGAAGATACGGTGCCGCGGAACGATGCAGTATGCCCCAACCAAGTATCTGAAGTGGTTAAAGTAACTGCCTTAGTACCACCGCACTACTGTCAGACTTTTTCGGTGAAAAATTCGCTGGCGTTCATTTGCCACGAAGAGAAGCTGAATACCAACCCCACCAGTCTCAGTTGCAAATTCCTGTCAAATGCGTGGCAAGTTATGCTCAATACAACGACGACGAGGACCCACCCGTTACAGAGAGCTGCATGCGCCAGGCTGTCCGGCATGACCTAAAGTGATACTGGACAACTGAGCCTAATAAATGGTTCATTCGATGCGTAGATCATTGGGATCCGGTCGTAAACCCGAGGGAAAAGCTTAGCCACGCTTGGATACGGCGGCGACCGTTGCTAGAACACGAAATGCCATGCTGATGGAATCACGTTCTTGAGCCGGAAAGGGCGATGCCAAGCAGACAAAGCCCATTGAAAGTCTTAACATGACTGGCGAATAGCATCCCCACGTATTCTGTACGTAAGTGGATACAATGCTGTTAAAACTTGGATGCAGCTAGAACCAACTATGAAGCTACGTGCGTTGCTAAAATTGAGTCATGCCTGTCATCAGTTTCTGCTTTTCGCTCAACTGCGTTCTAAGGTGCGATATGTTCTGAAAAGCTGTTGTTGAATAATTCCGTATTTTCGCAGTTTTGGAGCCGAACTGAACAAGCGCAGTATCCCGAGCAGCGCGAGTACCGTGTTTGGAGACCACTTGGAGAAGTTTGGAAACCCCAAGGCGGCCCTGGAAGAGGCGTACCGCAAGCTCAACTCTGATGACTGGTCAGTGGTCCGGATCGTTATGTCATAGTGGTCAGGTAATTGCCACAAAGGTAAGGAACATTAAGATGGCGTTGGTGATGGCCCTACTGTGAACCACCACACCTAGTCTCAGGCGGGAATTCGTCCAGCTTTGGGGCTGAAGCGAATTTCGATTAGTTTCTTTGCATGCAGCATTATAGCCATTGCCGCCCTACAGCGGCCATGACATCATTTTTCCGCATTAATTTTATTTCCGCATTAGTTTTCGCATTATTTCATCAATTTCGGGGTCCGGCTCTCCAGGTCCTCCTAGCTGCAGCTCAAATGCAGCCAGACTTCGCCAAAAACTTCCATATTTGCAGTGAACATTGGCCGAACACACGCACGCCAATTTTCCTACCCGCACGACCACAGCACCAATCCTTATGTCAACCCCGTCCGTTCGCGGAGCCGCCGCTGGGCCAGCCCGAGTGGCGTTGTCTGTGACCTGGCGTGACCTGGCGTCGGCAGGGAGCGGGAGGTCAGCGGCCTGACGGACCTAGTGCGCCTGTTCCGCTACCACCCGGACATGGTCAGCGGCGACCTCAAGAACGTCTCGGCCGCCGTCATCAAGCAGATGAAGAATCTGCGCTCGCAGGTGCTGCGTGCCGCTGTCCAGACCAGTTGCGAGATGTTCCAGCACGTCGGCAAGGGCGTTGAACCGGTGAGCCTCGTCGACATCGGTGGGAGCGACGTCACCTGGCGTGCGTGGCACCACATCATCACATACGCGCGCTCACGACAGCGGCGTCACAGACTGCAACACGGGATAGCACAACGCTCAGTGGTGTAGCGTTCTGCGTGTTTTCGTCATCGCTTTCATGTAGAGTTCAGCGTGTGCTGCAGAATATGTTGCAGGAATCGCTCTACTCTTCGTAACTCCGCAAGGCCGTCGCGAGCCCACGGCATCCGCTACCGTATCGGCCACCGCCACTAACCCCGCCCGTCGCTCCGCCGCCAGAACCTGGAGAAGATCGCTGCGATTCTGCTGCAGAAGACGAGCGACACCAACAAGTTCATCAAGGCGGACAGCAACCGGTCGCTGGACGTAATGCTGGACAGCGTGTCCCTGCCGCGCGCCATTACGGCCGTCACCAGCGAGGGTCTAGGCCACCGCAACGCCCAGGTGCGCTGCACGGTGGCCCGCCTGCTGGCGACGGTGGTGCAGCGGCTGGGCGCGGCCGGCTCGCTCTCGGGCCAGCGCGACATCACCGACCGGCTGGTGCCAGCGGCCGCGCAGCTGGTGCGCGAGGGCGACCTGCAGACGCGGTATGTGCCAATGGGTGGGGGCGGCAGGGAAGGGGGAGGGTAGGAGGTTAGGGTGGGTAGGAAGGGGCGTGGAGAGGCGCTGTTAGATCTGGAGGAGAACGGGACTGAAAGGATTCGTTGGAAATGGAGGAGGCCGAAGGAGGCGGGAATAAACTCGAGGGGATAGAAGAGGATCGGAGGGACGTGAATATCTGCTGGAGTCGGGGTGAGAGGGACCGGAGGTATAAAAGGGACCGCGCAGGGCTTGCAGTCGTTTAAGAGCGCAGGGTAGCAGTCCCTAACAACGAGGTTGCGATGCTGACGCTCTACAGATGGGTCTGAAAGTTAGTGTCAGCTAGTCTTCAGTAGTTTGCGGTGACGTTCCGGATGTTAACGCTCATTCCGGTGACAGACGTAATGACACCGGTGTTGCTGAATTTGTCAAAATGATCTTACGGGGCGATAACAGCACTTTGCTTTCATTTCACCTCTGAAGTTCTGCGTTTTTCCATGGCTGTCCCATGGTTTAAGGATAGGACTTGAACTAACTGTTGCGATGTCTTTACATTAGAAAACACGCGAAGACGATTTTTCAAGTATGGCTTCAGCATCCTGATTTGGACAAGGTACTGAGCAAATACCTGTCTGGATCGGTCAAGCTGGACATCGATAAGGTGGTCGACAACCTGAAGAATGAGGTACCGACGCCGGCCTTGTCCACCGCCTCTCTGACCTGACCTGACCTCGCCCGACATCATCATCCTACCACGTCATCAACAGTCAGTATCCAGTGCAGTGTCTTGTTCACCGTTTCAATCCCTTCAAAAAAATGTGAACATTGCTGCTATCATGATCAGATTTTTTATTTGTAACTTGAAGGCATTATCGTACTGTGTTGATTTTTATCTCAGTAATACGAATGTGCCGGGAGCAGGTTTTGCGTACATTAGCTGTCACGCGGCTGACTCTAGCTTATCTGCTCCTCACTGTGTGTTCCTTCTGCACAATATGACGGACGCCGTCGCTGACGGCCCCGTGTGGACGCCGACAGGGCAAGCCCAAGGACTCGGCGCAAAGCAAACGCGGCTTCGGCAGCCGGGTACGGCTGAACCACACCATGTGAGCGTGGCGGGAGGAGCGCGGCCGCGTCGCGTGGCTGCCGCCGGCTGCTCCGGACGGGCCTGTCGCGGTCAAGAGCCGCATCCTCCGCGGACAAACGCCACCCCGGCCGCCGCGGTCGGGTCCAGTCCCGGAGCGGATGTTCTTATCTCTGGGAGTGGCTGAGGGGCGTGACTTGAGGGGCGTCAGAGAGAGGATCGCGCCTGTACCTACTGCGGCTGGGCGGACGTTGTGAGCGGACGACCCGCGGGGTGGAGGGGACGGGTGGGTCTCAGGGCCGCGCGGAGTGGCGGCCCGGTTAGTTCGCGCGGAAACGTCTGGGGCTGGTCCGCCCGGCGCCGCATAAATTGTTGAGTCTTTGTAGTGCGTTTTACGAACTAGAGCGGCAGCCCACGACATAAGGGGCACTGGCGGCATTTTGTGTACGTGGATCGCCACTGGGCAGGTGTTTTGTAGGTGTGGCTTCGGTACTCCATTGGATCTAATCCGTCCATTTGTGCCACGAAATCAAATAAAACTTCTCTCTTCAGTTGTTTTGTATGCTTCGCGTATAGCTGCGGCATGGGAGCTTTCGGTGGTTACAACAGTGCAAAAGCCGTGTTTGAACCAATCTAGTCGCCAACATCTTGCAAGCAAGCGTGCGCTAGTATAAGACTGGAAATTTGAAAAGCAGGTTTAATCTTGGTCCCTTTGAAGGCTCACACCTTCCAAGCTGTGTTTACGAACTAATGCTAAAAGGGATTGGCATATCGATATCAACCGTGTAGATGTTCTCCGCAGTAGTAAAATTCCTTGGTTTTTGTAGAGTTTATGCGCTTTAGAGATGTTTTGTAATTACGGATTTTGTTGAACTAGTTCAGATTATACATGCAAACACAGCTTTTCAACCCTGATAAGTGAAGAAACAAGTGATATCCCCGTTGAGTCTGATTTAATTTTAGAAGCGTTGACAAATGCTCGCAGCGTAAGTAAAGGCTGGACAAAAATAACATGTCACATGAACTAAGACAAAAATGTCCACACTCCTAAGACACATCGAACACACGATGATATTGCTGGCGTGCTGGATTCCTGCTCGGTCTCTGTTGCTGTTGAAATTAAAATATATTTACTTGCATTTTGATAGCTAGAACTTAACGCTTCAGCTTGACTTGGTATCAAAATATATGCTTGTGAAATGTTCATTTGCAAGGCAGATTAATAACAGGTTAAGTCGGAGAGCTTCCACTAGTGAATTTGAAAGGAGCTGGCTGCACCATAAACCAGTAAAAATCAGATTGATTTCGGAGTTGGATCCGATTCGCCGCAGACCAATGCAAATCTGCGGTTTGTGCACCATCTTTACCTGCCCATCAATCAACACTGAAGCTCCAACCTCGCAACAACGGACGAAGCCGATGAGCAGTGGCGCCACCTATACAGCTTTCTATCCGTTTGCTCGTGCTAATATTACGGCTCCCTTGCATGACATGAATGGTAGAATTGACCTATGCTATGTATGTTATAGAGATCAGCTATTCCAAGTATTTCTTCCAGAACGCACATTGATTGTCCCGGTAGGCATTCACGTGTCTTAAATATCAAATGTACTACTCTTTGAATTACAACATTCAATTTTTTACATCATATTTATGTTACATATATATTACATAGTTACAACAATTGCATTCGGTTACGCAGTCAAGACCTAGTCTGCCAATACAAGGCAAGTGCGGGGCAACCGTAATTGACCTGAATTGCGGTGCATATAAGCGCACTGGTCAGTCGTGGTAGAGAGATGGGAATCAAGTCAATATGATGCCACTTTAACCCCGGATCTGCCTTAAAGGAAGTGTTCCACATTGAATGAGATTTTGAGATGAAATGGCTATATATAAGACCATTTGATGCAGTTCAAAGCCTTGCAGTTCTTGAGACCTAAATCCCTCCAATCTCTGAGCTAGGCGCCCAGAAGATGTGCATACTTTTTCAGGAACAGTATTTTAAGGTCACTCAGGCATCCATGACGCCATCATAACATCACTCAAATCCTGCATTTCATTAGCCATGTGGCGATCAGATATAACGTCTGTCAATTGGCTCTCAGACAATGCTGTGCATGACACGATGACGTAATCAAAGCAGTGACGTATTGGGAAGCCTATTTACTCAACAGAGAAATTGCGCTGTCTAGAGCAGTTTTTTGCACTTAAAAGTACCGATGTCTTCAAGTGAGCTTATTGAATCCTATCTCATCCTTGCTTTAATATTTCCAAATGTTGAACGCATCCTGTAAACCATGTCACGGACTGGTTCAAACAGGGCGGACGGTTCTGTCTCCGGGTGGCGCGGCCAGTGACGTCACATCTGGATCAGCGTCCGGGCAGTGACGTCACGTCTGGGTGAGCATCCGGCCGTGAGCAGGCGGAGCGGGTGGACGAACATCGGAGAGATCGGGGAAGAGTTCCACACCGTCGCCAGGGAGCATATCAGCAGCTTCCAGCGATAAATACAGCAGGGCATCACTCCAGTCTGAGAAAGTCTCGGCTGGAGCCGGTGACAGCAGACTCCGGACATCTCGCGAACCCGGAGAAGCCTGCGGTAGAGCAGGCTGGCTCTGGAGACATTGAGAGCGGTTACGCGAAGCCGACCAAGATACCCAAGCGGACAAGGGTGTTTTGATGGACACTTGCTGCCGATTTCGACTCTCGTCGCCAACCTTCTGCGGGCTCACCTTCCCACCACAAATGCAGGCCGCAGACGGTTTGGGAGATGTACACGAGATCGTAATTGCCATGGTGGGGAGGCGCTGTTTCCAACATCAAACTTGAGAAAGAAAAAATGGCGAACTGTTGATGCGCATGCTCAGCACATAGGCTCGTGTTTACCTTTGCAAGGTCTCGGTGTGTTAGCACCCGACAATCTCCATCAGGCTCGTTCACAAGTCACGAAGGCGGGTTACGAGGGTACGAAACTGTGCATTGAGTAGTCTATGACGCACAGTAGGCTCACGTGCTGAATACGATGCCGCCGGCAAAGAAAAACAAACAGATTCGTTGGGCCTTCACGAGGAACGGAGTCGGCATTTTAGGTAGCAGCATCATGTTATTGAACAGCAATATCTCAGCATTAGAAAGCAGCATCCCAGTAGCGAATCATAACATCATAGTCGAAACACTATTGTAAACAAACCACGGATGCCTTTGGCCCGTCAGCAGGCATCACAACTGGCATTGATGAAACAATTAGCATCCCGTAGTTTACGACGAGCGCAGTTTGCGTTCTGATCCCTTTTAATATGCTTTAGTGCGCACCTACGGCGGCCTTTCGCTCTCTCCCAGTTACCCACGTCTGACACCGTTCCTGGCCCTCTTTCACTGATCTGCAAATTCTGGGGAGGGGAGAAGGTTCGAGCCGGCTCAGAGCACCGCAGTGGCATCACACGGCGGCTAGTCTCGCGCTAGGGTTCATGGAATAAACAGTGCGTGGGGGTGGGGTGGGGCTGGGGATGGGGGTGGGGGTGGTGAGGTATATTCACGTGATAGCGTTTGACCGGCCGAGGAACTCGTGGTTACAACAATAACACTGCCAACTAATAATACTGTGTGTACGTCAGTTCACGCCGCAGCCTTCTTTCAACCAAGAGTGTAAAACATAATGTGCTCATCACAAAATAGCTTCTGCGTCTCCTTTGGAACTAGAACTCTTCGGTTAATACATCCAGCTGCAGGCATGTCTCATTTTCAAAGGGCTTTGCGTTTCCTTTGCTTCTGCATTCTTTGTCATGAACCCATCATCAAGCTCCACTTTTCGTAGGCCTTATGTTGGGTAGATGTTCGCATTCACCACGTGTCTGTCGCTACCACAACGGGGGTAAAAACACTTCCAGTTTACCGGATGTGATCGGTGTGAAAAACAGACACTGTTGCGAGTCAGTTGGTGATAAAACTGCAAAACTGGAAATAAGTTATAACAGACCAAACTATATTGCAACATATGATCTCAGTGAGACGAAACTCAAAGGTTAATATTAGTCTGCATTCGCTAACGCTTGCAGCGTAAGCTTGTGTAGAGCACGGGGGTCGACACGTTAAGGCTTCGCTGCATTGGCAAGTTTAGCCACAAGATACTGCCAAACATAGAAGCGTTAATCAGGGGAATTGTTAGCAGGTGACAAAAATACACTGCAATTATACACTATATTAGTGACGTCGTCACAAATCACCGGCGACACGGTGATTTTCCAATGCCCCGCAGAACATTGTTGTTCACAGATTTTTCAGCCAAGATCCACCTCACATACTAAATAGTAAACATACCAAATAACAAGACTTATTACTAGTCGTAAGAATCGTGACTGGCCACAGTATTTTGCAACGAACGAACCTCAGTTTGCTGCGCGACATTTTAAAGCGTCGTATCATTTGAGACAGATGGGCTTGCTTGCTTGCCGCGTGGTAATGAAGTTGGTTCGGTGCATAGCTGTGGACTGCCGTTGGTTGTGTTCGTGTCATGAGAAGTTGACTGATATGAATAACACACACACACACACACACACACACACACACACATATATATATATATATATATATATATATATATATATATATATATATATATATATATATATATATATGATATGAATAACACAACTAATCGTCAATTTTTTAAGGCACTGCGAGACTTTTCTGAAGATTTACCATAGCGGGCGCCGCTGGTAATAGAGTTCAAAAGCCCCAGCGATCTAGCAGGCTTGTTTGTGTATACCCAAACTGTAGCTTCAGGGGCCAACGGAGGATGTTGAAGTGATGCACGTCAAATATTTATCCGGGGCTTCGTGTTTGGGGCAAGAGGTCAACCATCGCTAGTGCAGACCTCTCACACTGCAAATGCGATTAAAACAGCGGCTGCGGCGGCTGCGGCTGCAAATGCAATCAAAACAGTTTGCTCTCCAGATTTGACGTACTTCTTTTCAGAGCTGGGAGCAAGGGGCCACATTTTCAAAATTAGTTTGAGGGGCTGAATCCTAAACCATAATGATGAATGGAACACAATGACTTATAAAAATGACTAAAGACAGGAAACTGCATCTTTGGTTAGTGGGCACAATCCTTCCCGAAACTGAATAAGAAACTACATACCTGTAGGTTTAGCGATGTTAAGTATGCCTTTATCTCATAATTTATAGATAGGTCTCAGCCATCGTTCAGTGTCTGATGAATTACAGAAGTATCAAGTTTCATACCTGCTCTAGAACAAAATCCAGACAGAGAGTGAATATGTTGGGAGAAGCCCCTAACATGGACATGCGCCAGTGATGGTCTTGAAAGAAGCCTAAGCCGCGGTCGCCTGTTAGCGTTTCCTTGATGCGTGTCTGTCTGCGTAGTTACACATGAATAGGTCACGCCTCCCCTCCTATGTCTGACACTAAACCGCTGCAGTTAGGTGCTAGTGCCGCACGCTCTGTTAAGATACATAACATTACAGTGGTGCTGTGTGGGATAATGCAAGAAATATTGCACGCTTTGCTCTAGTTTTTATACAAGTTCGTGATGTGTGATGATTGGGTCCTCGGTGCACAGCTGTAGCATGTGATGTGTTGCACGTGCATTTGCCCATAACAGGATAGCGAATATATGCTATGGACGGTTACAATATGTGCGCTGCCTAAATACTCTTTAAAAGAGCTGCGATCTTGTTCCACGTGCGGGGCCGAAATGAGGCTCGTTGAGAAATACTAAACAAGTTTGTCATATGACAAAATTGATTCATGTCGCTAAGCAAGACTCGTTACTCAAACATTGGCAAGTTTTGCATGTAACTAAGACAATGCAATAGGTCATCTACAACAGTGTTGGTATTCTTGTTAGTGGTTCTGGAATGCAGAGTAAATATTTCCAAAGGGTGGATGAAGACTATTAATCTGCATTTTATGAGGTATGGAAAACTATGAAGCTCTATTTCACACAACTTCACTACGAACACAGACCATAGTTATGTCTAAAACAGCACAGCAGTTCTGAAATTAAGCTGACCAAGTTTGCAGCATCAGAGCGAGTGAACAGCCTGCTGTCAAAGCGTGCGGGAGGGGGAGGGGGGCGATTTTCATGAATGGACTAAACCCTGCAAGACCGACGTTCCCTTCGTCTGAAGCCCACTGCTCCGGCCATTTATGCACTAAGACCTGCGTCCCAACTAACAAGACCCCTGGCACGGACAGCAAATGATACGGCAGTGCAAATAAAATCCGCGGAATGGAAAATGCTTGCTGGCTATGCCGCATTGCATTCAATTTGCTTCATTTGTGTGGTTTACATCATTTAGGATTATGATGCAGCGGTATTTGTTAGAGTTGGCTCCAGGTAACAATTTAGAATGTTCCAAATTTTATCCGTGGCAGAAAAAAACACTTTTTCGCCCCTGTACCACATGTTAAAAATATCAGTGATGCCTATTGGCGGTTTATCCAGAAAAGTTAGCGTGTCATAATTGAGCGGAACAGTGCAAGTGACCACCCGAAGGTGGGGAAGTGTCCACCTGCCAAAAAGAAGTCCGGTGGAAAGTGTTCGTACAAATCCGTGTTGGACCGAAGACCTCTCCATATCATGCAAAGGGACCACACGCCAGAACCGGTCTGTCTAAGGACGCACCTCGGGCTACGGCCCCTCCCCCAGTCACCCTGAGGCGCCCGACCCCCGCTCGGCTGACGGTCGGTTATTTTGGGAGCCAGCCGCACCGACGGCTGCCGTCGGCGGCCACGAACGCTGTGCGATAATGGGGACTTGGAATGCAGCTTTCGGCCGCATCGGGCGTCTCTCTTTCGTTCTTCGTCGACATTGGTGACCTTATTTTGCCTGAGGTGAATGAGTCTGAGCTATTAATTTATTAATGATTAGCATCATGCCACTAAATGTGAAGTTCAAGTTCAAGCGACAGCATGGAAACGTGGTGTTATTGCTGAGGATCTATTCAACACGTAAGGACGAAATTTTTTGTCTTGAAGGCAGAAATGAAATATTTGAATATTTTGCCAGTAGGGAGAATAGGACGCGTTTGGGAGACTTATTAGTAGTTGCAAAGAGACACTGACCATTGGTGGTGGCTTCTGCCTCCGCTTCTACACAGATCTAAGCAGGTCAAGTACAGGTGGCCAAGCCACAATGCCAATATATGAAATGGTCAGACGGTTGACCGAACGGTACGTGTCAGGGGAAGCGATGCTCCTGATATTTTGATGCATGTACAGAATGCCCCTCGTACTCGCAGGTTAAGTCACTTAATACACCGTTTAGAAAACAAAAGAGACGAAGCGAAAGAGAGAAGTGAAAAGTAGACTGAACTACGCGCAGGGCAAACTCACCGCGACTCAATGAATAACGCTGTTGAAAAAGCAAAGATGTGAACCCACAGCTGATTTAGCCGATTCAAATACATGTATACTGCACATTAAAGTTGAGGCAAAATCCTGAGAAAAGACACTGAACACTTCCATGGATTAGTTAAAGGACAGTGCGTATTGAACAGCTTTAGCTCTTTGCAACTGAGCATTACGAATCAAAGCAATAAGTCGAACAATATCAGTGACGTACCAAGAAAACGTTAAACATGTTTTGACGAACTGCACCCAGCAGGCAGCAGACTGACCAGAGATGCAGCCGGGAAAGTAAAAAAGACGTGCTCCTTGAGGTTCCGTTCCTTAATGCTGTTCAACGTACGTCACGTGACGGGACGGGACGAGAGAGACGTGATGGCAACACTTTTTATGAAAACAACCACAACCCCTGTCCAGACGGGTACTGTACGATGCCATCAGATGTTGGCGGGGGGGGGGGGGGGGACTTAATGGCATCGCACATGGGCTTCTTTCCGAATCACTTGCATGCATTAAAGAAGGCGCAGCCATGCTCATCCTCAAAAAGGAAAAGATCCAATCTCGCACGGAATCGCTGGGTCCGATTAGACTGCTAAACATCTGATGTAACAGCGACGACCCCGTATTCATGTTAGGCGTATACAGAGTTTTAATTGCAAACACAAACGGGTGGCGCAGGATGACATGACTGATCAAAGGAACAAAGCGGGACAGTTCTGTATAGGGCTTATGAAGTAGTATGAACCAGTAAGAAGCAGACGGGTCATTGAACCATGAGCACGTGTTTTTCAAACCTCCGCCAGGCTTATCAAGAGCAGAAGTGTCGAGGGTTCGCGCGGGTGACACGTGGTGCAAACTGACGGTGTCGAGGCTGTAACACAGACGTTATCGTTTTATGGCAGCCCACTAATAAACGTCGGCGTGGTAGATTGCGCCCCGACAGCGCTGTCTCACTCGCAGTTGGTCTCTCATCTCGCCTCCAAGTGTCTCAGAGGGGGTTCGGTAAACTTGACGCTGCCAAGCTTCGCCACCTCCACCGCCAGCTCAAGGGGCTCTCTCAAGCTTAGAGAGAGCCCCTGCCAGTTTAGCATCCGACATGCGTGAACAAGTTCTGAAAACGAAGTAGGTGAAATCCGGACCTGTTTCACAAATTTTATTGAGTCGTTTCAATCTATTTCGTACGGTTAACTGTCTGGTTGGCCTAAAAGCGCCAGATCCCATCGCTGTCGCCTCATGCGCGTCGCTTTCTATACTGGCCTAGCATTTTGTTTTACAATAGGTATGAAAGACGGTTGGTACCGAGACACAGCAAAAGTCCTACTGACCTGCCTTTTGGGATGTTCAGAACATGGCCTAACATGACGATGACCTTGTACATCACGAATCTCACCGTGTCAAAGATCGATGTAATTTTTCAGCTATTTTGGTTCGTGATATAACGGTCTGGTAGTTTTTCGCTGGACATATACCCTAAGAATGCAAGGTTTACGACGAATGTAAACATACTTGAAATGTAGGGATGCGTAGCCTGCTGAATATATGCAATTTGAATAATATGAAATTAGAGTTACAAACGATACAGCTCCGGTCCTATTCGCCGGGTGGCCATGATGATGCCTTCAAAAGCTGGGGAGACGCGTTGCAGCATCTTTACATTTTGGTGATAGGTAGGCATCGTGCAATGTGAAAACCACCTGAATGCAGCCATCTGCGATCATTAGTTCCCCAGCGTGGCAGCTTTGAAATCCCATTTATTTTGCGCCGCACGCCATCGCTTTACTGTTTTATTTCTTAAAATGGTGACATATGTGAACACAGCTTCATAATATTGGCACGTGCTCCCAGACTGGTCCCAGCAGACTCTCCTCCTTGTGCACACGGCTCGGTCGCCAACTGCAAGGCCTTGCTCCGCAAGCTAGGCGATACTTTAGCTCCCATTAACGCGATACCGTGTGCGTCGCTTCTCCCCCGCCCCCTCTCTCAGTTGATTATCAGCACCTTCCACCGCGCTTCTCTTCAACCACAAATTCACGGATAATCAATCCAATGCCGCAGTGATCTGCTGTTCGTACAGAACGGCACGGAACGCCACGATGCTCCGACACTGACTTACATGCTAGGCGGTGTATGACTTGTGCATATGCGTAACGATCTCCCGACCAAAGTTGAGTGCAATAACAGCGTACAGTCTCCGCAGCGCGCCTCGTTCCTGCCTCTCCGTCACTTTCAGTAATCACAGCTCTCCGTCGTGCTTGATCACCATTTCTCCGCCGTCCCTGATACTGCACCTCCGCCGTCCATGATCACCACTCTGCCGCCCCTGCAGGCTATCGCTACATCAGCCCGTCCGTGCAGCTTATCACTGCTCCTCGGCAGTCCCCGCCGATCATCACCGCTCCTCAGTCATCCCTGCCGGTCATCACCGCTCCGCCGCCGTCCCTGCGCATTATCACTGCTCCTCGCCGCGCACGAAGCCCGGGTTGTCGCTGCCGGCGGCTGTTTCGCCATCCATGGTGTGGTAGGGCCGGCGCCGCTGCAGCCAGGCCGGCTGGCCCGAGCATCCGCCGGCCCGGTACAGCCGGGCCCCCGCCAGCACGGTGAGCAGCGCCGCCGCCAGCAGCACAGGCCCCAGCGCCGCCAGCGCCGCCGACAGGTGGTGAGGCGCCGATGACGTCACCGACTGCGCCGAGAAGAAGGCGAAGTAGGAGAGGATGCCGCCGGCGGCCGCCAACGACACGAACACGCAGGCCAGCAGGCCGAGGATGCAGGCGTTGTCGGCGTCGCCCAGCCGCGCGCACAGCGCCGGTGACCTGGGGACAGGTTAAGGTCGGTCAGTGTTGACAGACGACGAGGTGAATGACACCTAAAGCGCGCGGCGTCAGTAATTATATAGTAATTTCGGTCTGTGGTATTCCTTTTCGGAGGGATGGGATTAACCTAAGCATGTGGAAAGGAGTGGAATCAACGATGGAAACCGTTTTATCTTCTAAACCTTTCTGGACGCTGTCAGTCGGATAACATTCGGCCTGTTGGCGCTGGCATGTTGAATTTCTCTTGTCTTTCTCGCCTGTCCGGGCACGCGCCTTGGAATTCAAATCTCGTGGTACTAAAGTCTATGAACTCTCATCTCAGCCGCCCGTCATGGTACATCGCCTGGCTTCGAAGTGTCACGACTGCATTGTCCATTTATATCAGGATAGCACGGCGGCGGTGCGCGTGAGGAATCTGAAGGCACACCTGGACACGGCTGCCGCATGACGAACTCACGCGAACGGAGCCGACTAATAATGCATAACTAGATAACGCATGTTAAATATCCGGCCTCGGGCGGGGAAAACGGGATGGGCTGCCGCCCTTCGGAGAATTCTGAGCGCCTAACAGCTATCTCCGCGGTCCTGTCACCGCTTCTCAGGCAGGTGAGCGGACAAGTCCGGGCAGCAGTCGGACTGGAACTGACGGGACCTAACTGAACGAACAGCTCACTCGAAACCGCTAGATGTGTCACGTGTCCAGTGTACAAGCAGGTGACGGAAAAACGGATTTCACTTTGGGCCAATAAGTCATTAATTTAAAGAAATTAAGCCACCAGTACCGACTCCACTGAATACTTATGCTAGCATGGGTGGATGAACAGCTGTTTAAAATATCCTATTCTCTAACATTATTCACATGGTGTCGGTTATTAATGCCAACACCATGTGAATAGCACCTTTAAGTGGAAAACAACACAGACTGACGATGGTCGCGGCATGACTTCATTATGTTGCGCGCCAGTAATTCAACTATACTTATTACATACTCAAAGCCGTCCGATCACTGAGGTTGTTACCATACGATGGCCGACAGCGTTGCTTCAGTAATAATTGCTCTTACTCGCTGACGTCTGTCGTTCTGATGGAGGTAAGGGCGTCACAAAAAGAAACTCGGTGTAACTCACACAGCAGGATAAATCGGCAGACATGACAAATGAAATAATCTTGTTAGATATAACTATGCTTTACCGACAAGAATTACATTTGATCAGGCAGTCCCTGACCAAACACCAAACAGGATTTAGAATCGAGATGCGTTATGACATTTTTCGACACACAATCAGTGATGCCATGTAAGGGAAAGTAGTCAGGTAAAAAACTGAGAAAAACAAGTCGTATTTCAGTGAAAATAGTGATCATAGTGCAATAGCGCCATGATATGACGTATATGGATGCAGTAGAATGCAGTTTTACAATGCAACAGAACACCTGTGTGACCTTACGTGAGGTGCGTATTTTCGAGCCAAAAATAGACATAACCTTGGTAGGCCCAAACATGGGTAATAGTACAAGTATGACGAGCAAATTAGTGCGTCACAAGATCAACAGAGGAGGACTGAACACAAGGAATAACTGCGCTAGAACAAATGCTAGTCACGAATACAAACAAATGCCAGTTGAGCCAAGCTTGGTTCTGGCACTTTTTGGCCAAGAGCTGTCTACGCTATTAACTTGACTTGGCCCAGCCCACTTTTTCAGCGCATGCCTGAAGGTTATGTGACATGAGGTAAGGAGAGTTTGATGTCGTTGCCTTAATCAGTTCGTGGCACTCGGGCTGATGTGATGGCGAGCGGGCATGCTTCCATCACACACCGGTAGCAAGGCCCGCGCCCGCGCTGAATATCAAGTACCGGCTATACTGCATAGCTACAGGGCAGGACACCAGACCAAACCCCGGCTTGTTTCCAACCGCCGGCATGTACAAAAAGCGTTCCCAGGATAAAATGTCAGGCATTTGGCGAAAGCCCGTGTGGCACTTAACCGGACGTGTCCGATGAAAGCTAAAACAAAAAGCAGCGCTGTTTCGATGCGATGAAGGCCAGCCTATCACGCCTGATGGGTCTCACATGCATGCGTGATTGCACGTTGTGTGCGTTGCTTCCGTTCGCAAACATCGGCACGCGGCGAGGAGCGGATTTGCGACACAAAGCATGGAGCACAGAAACAGAAAAACAGCTTCCTGACGAAAGCGATTCAGTAAGCTCTTGTTTCCATGCATGAGGCATTCGAGACATAATGCATGTATCGGCAGCAAAAACAGCTGCGCTGTTCAGAACGTCCGGGGCGTACCCAGGAGAGCGCGGTGGAAAGAAAGGGACGCGGGACCTTACTGAGAAGGGCAGACCACACAAATGATGGATTCGGCCAATTTCCATGAGTTTGGGATGGCTCACAGCTTCCCCTAAGTACCGACGGCACACGGTTTCAACCACCACCCGGTTTTCCTGAGAGCGCTTTTGCGATGTCCTGCTGCGAGCTGCTTCAAATGGGATCATTGCCATAGCTATGAATAAGAGGCAGAGTGGCAAGTGGATGCTGGAAACAGAATGATGACATGCAGTGTAGTTATTAATAAGTGTCAACACTGCTAGGCAAACCAATTAGAAATAAAACGTCAGTGTATAAAGCAATGTTTTTAAGGAAAGAAGCAGACACCAATACTTTAGGCAGTCATTTTCTAAAGAACCAAATGACCTAGCACCACTGAATCCTAAAGGGCATCGTCGAAAGAATGTCAAGTTGCATTACTGGATAAAAACAGACGATCGATATTGAGGTTAACAATAGTTTATTGTTACTTACATTGTGCACTTGATAGTCGCAACTTTTAACTTAAAACCATTGCGAATTGCGTATTTAAAATATCACGTAACCGCGGCTTCTGTAACCGCGACTAGATGATGTGATTGACTGTTCAGGAAACTTCTATCAAGATTGATGTGTGTCTTGTTATCGCAAACAAAACGTTGTTGAATGATGGCTTCTCTGGCATACCAATGCCCACTATCTTAGTTATCGCGATTAACTGAAAATGTTCGGCGCTGAAATATCAGGTTGAGCTATAATGTTTTTGCTTGGATTTTGGTCCTTCGTCTCCACGTTTCCATTGTCTTAAATACGGCCCCAAATATTTTGTTTGCCATTAGATAGGGATGCAGCTCACCCAGGCTAAAGCTGGAATAGGAAAATAAAAGTTAAGCTTTCACACTACAGTAAGCAGTTTTTCTATCCCATCTCGGTATACGAGAAAGCTTTTATGGAATGGTCTTGTCATTAGGAATTCTCAATGAAGGGTCAACCTGGGTGCACCCTGACAAACAGCGACATTGGGTGTGAATTGGGTGACTTATGTTCTCAGGCAATAAACATCTCAGCAAGATTCATGAATGGGTTGTTGAGTTGAAATACAAGCAGAAACGGTTGCGAGCATGTATTTTATGTGTAATGCGTCAAGGAGCTCTATTGGAGTCTGGGATCGAAATAGAGCTACTAACGGGTAAAAAATATATCGCCTAATCCACCCACAGTGCCAATACCGAGCCGATACCCTCTCGACATCGGTTATGCCCATCAGCTACCCACCCCCTTCGCATTTTTGCAACGTAGCAGCACTTGTTCGAGCCGAAGTTCACGATCTAAATGCCAACAAATTTGAGACAAGTGAACTGATGTAACTCCTTTCCCACCCTGTGCACTTTGGTGTGTCTAACTCTATTAGTTTTTTAAATACCATGGGTCAAATTGAGCCCCCGCACAAAAATCGCCACATTGAATTGGACATCTGGGGACGTGTTAACCATACGCATACCCATACCCATAACTGTACTTATCCCAATGTCTGTGTCCGGCCAAGCCTACGCCCCTTCCATATGGGCATAGGTTTACCCAGCCCCCGAAGTCGTCTACATATAAATGCACACCGTTAAACGTGCTTGTCTCCCACTGACCCGTTTACTTCAAAGCTTGCGCAACTTGAGATCACTGCAATTCCCAAAGCCAGTGTGACTTCCACTTCATGGCGTGACGCTACAGGTCCCGTATCAAAATGCCAAACCGTTATCAGGAGTGATGCACCGCGTCGTGTGACGCAGTCACCTCTTCCCATGGAATCGTTGCAGCTGGGCTGATAGTGCTATCATGGGCGGAACTGAGATAATTCGCCGTCAAAACGTGCTATGGAGAGCAGTTGCAGGCATTGTATTGCCGGCTCGGCATAGTGTCCTATAACTACAAGGTTATGCCACATGTTAGGGATTACGTCAAGCGGTGAGCTACTCGCACGTACTTGAGCTTGACAGCTTGATAGCTTGACAAGTAGCTTTGATATGGCAGGTCTTGGGGGTTGTCATGGTGCTCAAGTCTTATAATTGTCATAGATGACATTTGTTGTGATGACTGCCATCATCACATGGGTGTAACGACCTGAGTTCAAGATGCAGTTAGGATGGACGATTCTAAGATAGTTATTGTGATAATGCTTATAATCAGAACATCTCTTGCAGAGACCAAGACTCATCGAGGGCATCAGACAACACTCACGTCACACACCGCATCTTGTAAAACACGGACAGCAGAGTGTGTGTAGTCAGTCTTCAAAAGGAGAGACGTCAAGCATCTTGTACCCGTGAGCTATCACGGTGCTGCCATTTAGCTCATTTTCCTGGTTGAAAAGCCTTGACACAGCGTTCTCAAACTCAAGGAGCGGTGATACCAGTCTTTTCATAAGCATCCAAAGTGTTTGGAAACCTACAAGCTCAACCGAGCGTCTAGGAAATTAGTTGGTTCTTCCGACGGCGGCTACTGTCAGCGTTCTGACCCTGTTGTTTTCGTCGTCAACGGCTTTTCCATCCTTTATCTATGAAACTTTCCTGACCTGATCGTTCGGCGAAGATCACTTCCACCAGAGACTTCTTAAATCCTGCAGTTGGTTCAATGGGGTTGAAAAGCCAGAAGTATCTCGATACAAGAAAAAAGACCGTCATTTCGTTCTACTACATCTGGAACTCACTAGATCACCTCCAGACGACCTCTGCATCAGTTTTATTTGGCCCAGTCCAGCGGCTGTGAAGCACGAGAGTACAACTGGGCGTTGGCTGGCAGACAGATTTTTCGTCTTTTCCCAAAATCCAGAACATCGTGAAATGGGATTATGTTTGCTTCTGGACTTCTGTAACACGACATAAAAAACACAAACAAGCTAACAAGGAACGCAAATATAGGTCGGTACCGTTGGCTCAAACCCAGTGATGATTCTAACAAGTTCACAAAAAGCCACAAATCTGATGTAATCAAAACACATTATGTAGTGTTTATTAGTGTAACTCGCAGTGAAGGCAGATCCACATTTTTACCAGAGACCTCCAGAGAATAAATATTTGAAAATAGACTTAACTCATTCACAGAAATACCACGCGAATTTTCCAAACTTCGCGGGGCTGAGGCGAACAACTTAGAAGCGGCGAGAAGCACACTGGGGCAGAGGAGGACACAATCTGCCCTAACCCCGATGGGAACATGAATAATCATAAACCTCTGCATACATATCTGTTTATCTCCAGCGGTGACATCCATGGGTTCAAGCTATTTAAGCTTAATCCCAATGCGCTGTTTTTTTGCTTAATCTCAACCTGCGTGGGTATTGTATATTTTCTTCCGGCCCGGATCTGCGCCCTGCCGGAAGTCTGACAACTGCGCCCGGCTGAGGAAACTTCACCCTCCCCCTGGGATCTCCAACTTCTAGACGTCGCGCCAGCAAAAACAAAGATATCCTTGTGAAGGACTCATCAACGCATGACACACGCACGCAAAACTTTTGGCCTTAGGTCAAAACTTTGGTGTCCGGTGACCTCAACTTCTACCTAAGGTCGAATTTGAGGTAATCGGAGGTCACTAAATGAAAAAGTCGTTCTGAAAGATGCAGACACAATATATATATATATATATATATATATATATATATATATATATATATATATATATATATCAATACGACAAGACGGATATTAAGTTGGCAGAAGTAAGCATTCGGACATTGGGAAGTCCATTCCAACTACTGTTGTTCCCCACAAGGTTCAGGTCAAGTCAGGTCACCGTTTAAAATTGGTCTGCCATATAGCCTACAAGAACGATACTTTCATAACGCGCCTCTGATTTAACTTTTATATTCGATGTAACTGTGGGAAAAGTACCTCTGACACAATAACGCCATTTTTGACTGACGTAGAGGCCAGCTGAGGTCGAATTAGTTGAAATTCGTGACCTTCCAAATGCATAAAGATTGAGTGCTGACCGGGTCTAAGTGACAAGTGCAGTATTTTTCTGTGGTCAGAAATAGTGTGCTGTACATCTACAGGTACTCAAGATTGTATAGCCCTAGCATACGTTTTATTAACTTCCTTCGACGCTTGGCAATGTATTTGTAGTAAACTGAGAACAGGCACGTTGGTTCCTAACATTATACGTCACCAGGCTCACAAACACGATAGATGGTTTCACGCGTCGCACCCGCTCATCTAGCCTATCCGCTACTGGCAACAGAGGCCATTGACCTTGGATGACCTCATATAGCCCTGAGTGCCCTCACGCGACCTATTGTGATCTCATTATGCCTCAGAATGACATCGCAACAGGTTTCCAGCGGGACATTAGAATGCGGTGCCTTAAGTTATTTGGTAGAACCGCCTATTTTGAGCTCAGTATGTGTTTTCCAGAAAACACCCATAGGGTTAGGTCATGACCTAGGTCAACGTCATGTGCCCTGTGGCCATATCATGGTTGGGCACGTGAACATGTACTCTTCTTCTAATACACAAACACCGAAATTGCACACAAATATAACAAATTTACACTAATGACAAAAAATACACAAAGGTATCTCACCTTAGGCCACTGACCTAACCTGTTACGAAAATTCTGGAAGGTATAAACTGTGGGTTCTATCATGTAATATCATCACAGCACGTTTGAACAATAATAAATAACGTACAAAAAGTGTGCGCAGTTGTACCTGACATGCCTAAATGTGACATATCGTCATGCTTCGACGTATGCAGAACTGTTTACTTGAACGTAAATAGGCTGATGTCACAATCCTGTCATCGCTACATCTGAGGCTGGCTTTTTGTCCCCCCCCCCCCCCCGGCTAGGCATCTGTGTAATACAAGAACCGGCCTTAACACACCGTCAGATAAACAACAACCAGCAATACAACAACTTCACACTCACAGACCAGTATCTCCTCTCACGTAATCACATTTCGAACACTATCGCATAAACATATTGGAGTGCGACATCCTGCAGGTTTTCCACCATGTGCGGACGAAAATGAAAACAGAAGGCACTGACAAAACCTCACTCTCCCACTTCCCCTCCGTCTTCCTCTCCCTCTCTCTCCATGGCCCTCTTCATCTCCCTGCCCTGTTCCTGCACTCTCCCTCCCTCTCCCTCTTCCTGCTGTGCCCTGACCGTGTTCTCAGCGTCGCCAGCGCCGGCTAGACGGCCGTGCCGCTCCGCCGAAACGTGCGCGGCGTCCGGGCCGGCCGGACGTGCTCACCTGTTTTTCTCCATGACGGCGCGGCGCCCGCCCGCTGCAGCACCTTCCGCTCGGCGCCACACCGCGCACGGACGGTCGCTGCCGCGCACCCGACCTGACTGCACCTGGAGTCGGAGGGCGGCCTCGTGCAGCCGACACAATCACGCCATAAAATCGATACCGGCGCTGTGCACATACGTCACGTGCGGCCGGTGGCAGCCGGCAGCGCGGCTCCGGCTTGGCCGCCACCTTCCGCCTGGGGGTACCGACCGCAGCCCGGCGCGGCGGCGCACCGGCAATTTCGCTCGATTAATGCGGGGAGGAACGGACTCATGGCCTTGGCACGTCACTGCTGCCGGCCACGGCGCGGGATGCCTGGTGACGTGGCTGATCCGCACAGCGCGGCATAAGAGCATGAAATACTGTGCAAGTTGTAGTTGTAGTGTAGTTGTAGTGTAGTGTAGTTGTAGTGTAGTGTGTAGTTGTAGTAGCTTGCAGAAAAAAGCGTTCGTTCACACCAACACCAGATGCTTGCCGACCGTCTCGACATGTGCCCAAAAGGGGAACCAATGCGACATACGCTTGACAAAGTACAACGTTATTTGCCCGCTTTGGATCAAGTCTTATGACGCACTTAAGAATGCTCCACATTTGAAGATATTAAGGCAAACATCACATATGATGAAATAAGATAACTTCTAACTATTCGTATGCTTCCAGGTGCAAAAACTCCTCTAGACCGCACAATTTCACTATTTATACAAATTGTTCACCAATACGTCATCGTCTGATTGCGTCATGGTCCAGTTGTATGACATCAGATGGGCTGGCAGACTGGCCGTGTGAAATTCCTATCGTAGCGGACGGAAGGACTCACTTGTAGTACTTCAACGTCTCGAGAGGTGCCGTGCTATCCGTGTCTCGCTGGTAAGCCTAAATATCCTACCGTACGCGTATTTTGGCCAGCTCTCGTGCTGTTCTTGCGCATCAATCCGTGGTTTTGTATTGCTTATTTGTATTAACATGCCCGGTTATGGGGCTATTTTTGACCTATTTGATTCTCCGTCTTGCTCCCGTAATAAGTATTTCCGCTGTGCATCTTCCTGAATTATAGAGCGCACAATGCTATGCGTATTCGAAATATGCGTTGCATGTATAACATTGCTTTATAGCCACTGTGTGCCAGGAATGGCGCTGATGTATGCCAGGCACAAACACGAGGATGATGTTTATATTGACCTTGAACACTGCATGGTCAATGGGATGGTACTATTTGACGTTTCTATGGGATCATGCCAGTCCGGATGACATTAGAACAGTCTGCATGACGCAAACGTTTCCACAAGTTCTCGTGCGCCTGGCTTAGAAACCGGAGGCTTGTAATCTGAGGAAAAGCAGCGCCATCTGTGGACTGAACTAGACATCATGCGCCGCCAGGACTGCATGATGACTTTCAAACTGGTCACCTCAGTTCAAAACCCCATACAAATGTGGAATACTCCCTTAAACCCAGCGACTAACGGACCCTGTTGAATCCTCACACGCTACCCCATGAGTTTGCCACCTACCTAAAGCTGATAGATCACTGACACTGGAAATTTTCCATTCTGGTATCGGTGACATCAGAGAACAGCTGTGGCCCTGGTCGTTGTCATGTTCGGTGATGCGGGCGGCCGTTTTTGTTATCCAGCTGGCCTATGTTTAGATCCCAATTCAAGCCAGACAACTAATTCGGCCTCCACGATTTCCTCCTGCGAGAGCGTGGTCCTCGTGCAGAATGCAAACAAAGGGCACATCCATGACTTTTGCAAGCGAAAGAGGGTGCTGATACCCAACATTCCGATACCATTACGGTAGAACTCTGGCGTGTTTCCAAATGCTCCCGGGTCACGAAACCATGTGCATCTCGGGCACGAGAGATTGCGGTGCAGAAGTTGTAATTGATCTCGTCATATCTGATGTTTGTCTCATCATATCTGGTGCTTGTTTCAGCATAATAAAAGGTGAAATATTTCCTTTCAACTGTTTGGGCACTAGATCACTGGCTTTGTTTCTAGATGTCAACGTCGTCGCTTATGTCGGTTTTATCGGAATGTCAGCTACATTGGTGCAATTACATTGGCCCTTTGTGCATGCATGACAATATGCTTCATTCATAACGCACAGCAGCACTGTGGCCTGCAACATCCACTTCTTACTCATCTTCCATTTTCACCACCCCAATAGTCATTTGATTTCTGTCCATGTCAAAATCTTGAATTATTCCTACTTTTCGTTTGCAAAGCAATGCACCATCCAACTTTCTCTGCATACACTCAGTTGAAATCCCGTGTTGCTAGTGTTTTTAATGCTAATGTTTTTGTTAACGTTTCTTTTGCTAACATTTCAAACAGGGTGCTGGCTCTGGCTCTAGTAGGCATGGTATTCTTTCATGGTGAATCGGCACAAACCTGGCTGGTTCAGAACAAAGTTCACATAAGAGTCAGCCTTGTTGATGAAAACCTGTTCTTCGTCATCCTTTTGTTTAGAAATTTGCCAGAGAGGTGCCCAATATCACGCGAGCGATTCAACATTACTTCGGGTTATAATGAAGCATGATATCCAGCACACTTGCTCCCTGGGCCGAGGGGATTCCCCCTGCACGATCTTGCCGCATGCAAGCAATGCCCTTCTGGGACGTTGGTTGCATCACTTTGACGCTGACATTGACTTGATCCTTGCTTATATCTGGGTATCTGCACACTGACATTGCGTGAGAAAACGGGTGTGGAAGCGTGCTGCAATATGGACTGTACAGCAACTGCGTAGTTACCACACGTGCAGGTTTGCAGCACAGCCTACGCGACTATTCGAGCTGTTTTGGCATTTGCGCGGGTGCGCAGGAAAACGCTCAGCCAGTGCTGAGTCCTTCCCCGCTTACCCAGCGCGGACGATCGATTCAAGTCTCAGAATCAGGCGGGCGTCCAGCGGGGCTCTGCTGGGTTCAGTTTGGCCGGGAGCAGCTCGACCCTCTTCCGGGCCCCAGCCTGAAACAGAACCCTGACGTATACACCAGAACAAGCGCTCGCGGCCACGCCGCCCATTGGTGTTCACGTGAAAACGCCATCGCTGATCTCCGCTGGTGAGCTCTCCTACAACGGCAGGCCCAGGCCTGACCCTTGCTAGGACCTCGGAGGGAGCGAATGCTTTGCGGTGGCAGACGCCGGGTCAGTCGTCCCACAATTTGCAATCCCACTGGTATCCAGTCAGCCATGTCTGGTTTTAGAGCCGTTGGGTTGTTGAAGTTGAACGTTCAAGTTATGCATCACCAGAAAATGAACGTAAAATATCTTCCAAAGGAGGGAGGCGTACCATGACCCATGACCCCGTGCTGCATTTGTGTCCGGCGTAGCGCGCCCAGCGTCGCATGAGGGTTCACTGAACGCCGAATAAGGCCATTCATCCAAAAAACTGTTCCCCCGAGGCGTCAGTCCACGTGGCGTCGGCTGGGCCCGTTTTTCTCCGCGTTTCGCCCACCACGCCAAGCCGACATCCACCACGAGCCGGCTGCGCCGAGATCGCGAATAGCGCCGCGGGGCGGAGAGCGACGAGAGGCGCGAATTCACCGCTGTGGGCCGTCGGCTCAGTCAGCGGCGGGACCAAAGCCAAGCCTTGGGCGGCGGACGGTGGTTAGGTGGCGGCGGGAAGGATCGAGGGTGCATATAGATCACGGAGCCATGCGAGCGAGCGCAGTCGGTGGGTTGGTAACGGATTGGGCGCGTGCCTCAGAGACACCTAAACCAGCACTATGCCGGCTTTCGAGATTGATACCAACGCCCCTGAGGCGAAGATCACGCCCGAGGTGGTCAAGGAGCTCACAGAGCTTCTCGCCGAGATGCTGGGGCTGGAAACCAAGGTGAGACGAATCGCTGCTTGAAAGAAACCCTGGGTGCTGCAACGTTGGTCGGCGCAACGGTCCACACGCGTGTCACGAGCACCCAACGTCGAATGCCCCTGTTGGAGCGCACCGACGTAGCTGGCGCTTCGTAACTCGTTGCTTGACCAATATTTCCGGTGCCCGTACAGCATGTGGGAAAATGAGAGAAACGAAAAATTTTTACGCGGACCGGCACGCCTTGGCGATTTGTTGCAGAACAGAATATTACAGAATATTATCAGAATTGGTTACACCCAAGGGCTACGCCCCTGCCACTTTCCAAGAGAGCTATAGGTGCAGTGTCGCCCACTGGCTCTGACCGGCTCCCCAGGCATGGGCGCACATCCTGTCAGCGGCCTCGAGCTTGCCGTAACTGTTGACGGCGTTCTTGGGGATTAGTTTTCGGTCGCATCACGCTGTTTATTGTGGTGCGGACTACGGCTTGCAACGTAAAACTTCCGCTTGCAGAACTATGAGTTCGGTGTTCTTGTGCCGAACGTTCGCGATTTCCAGTGTAAAAGGCACTAGGCGTTAGTTTAACGACGTTATCAAGCAAATATAAAGACATTCAGACATCTGGCCAACAAAAAGCCACAAGGGCTCATCGAGGTTGGCTTACGTCAGGCTCTGCAGACATCCTTGAAACTAAACTTAACCCATGACCTTCCTGAATTCAGGTATAAATGAGATCTTTTGAGCGACAGAACTGGTCCAAATTATTTTTAGATATGGCTAGAAAGGGACTTTCTATAACTTTGTTTGGCAGCCCACCCCAATGGCTCACTACAAATGACATCTGCCTACTGGTAGTTTTACTCCTACCTTTTGCTAACTGAAGCTGATTTCCTCGGCCTAAGTCTCGGCCTAATTTCCAGTGCTCCATGCAAATCTGCCTCGTGTATCCCTTTCATAATCTTGAATGCCCCTATGAGATCCCCCTCAAGTCTAGGGTATTTCGGCGTATACAAAGCAGAGGCCCTACAGGTATCCTTTTATAATAGGTCGCCAATCCCATTTATCATCATTGTTGTTTTTCGCTGTACTTTCTCCACCCTATCTTCATCTTCTTGGAAGCATGGGGACCTAGCCTGTACACCTCACTCTAGGTGTGGTCTGACATAAGTACAACTTTTGACAACATTCGTACTTTGGTAATGGGCCTTCCTGTTGATAAGTCCCAGCATCCGAAGTATCTTGCTCCTTTCTCCTACTTAATTTTTCAATATTTACATCCCGGAAAATCATTATCCCTGATCCTTTTTCTTTCTCGATCTGATCTTATTCCCGGCCTCCTAATTCATATCCGATGCCCTCACTACCAA